AAAAAAAGGGGGTGTCAGAGCTGAGAATACCCCAAGCCGCTATGTGAGGAAGAGTTTTTTCCCTGCACTTTACTCTGACCCGGGGTGTTTAATCTTTGTCACCCACTTTCTCTCAAGCAGGACTGCAGTCTGGGCAGGTTGATGTTTTCCTCTTTGCCATTCAGCCAGATGCGGTCCTCCTTCAAGCTCCGACTCGAGGCGACGGTGGTGGTGGTCTTCAGCTGGGAACGCAGAGAGAGATCGGCGTGTGAGGGGAGCACGGGCGTCGGCGGGGCTCTGTGACATGCAGGCGAGGAGTGGCACTGCCCTCGCTAATACTCTACCTGGTCCTGGTGAAGCGTTACGCTCAAGGAGGAATTAATGGGCAGGACCAAATCCTCATCCCTCTTTCCCCCTGAAGGAAACAATATTAAAAAAACAAACATGTTTTTGTTGTTGTTGACATTATGCTCATCATTCTAAGGGGATCTTCCAGATCTGGAGTCTGTAATCCCTTCTCTTAGACTTGTACGAAATGTCAGTCATCAGAAAACATGAAGAATTCCAAGAACACTTCAATCACGGCCTCCTTATAACCCCCCTCTCTGAACTGGCTCCATCACTCTGCTCTCCTCCCCGCTGAGAGCTGGTGTGTGGAGAGCAGACTGACGCATCATCCAGGTGGGGCTGCACACTGGTGGTCCCTATTACCTGAGTAGTTATGGAATGAAGCGTCCAGAAAACCGCTATATGAAACTTGTCTCCGGCAAACACGACGCTGTTCTGCGTTGTCGTTTTTGGTGTTTCCTTGAAGTCTTAGTATAGGAGCATACATAGAAATAAGCATTTCATTGCACTTGTGCACGGCAATAATCTCTGTGGTTTGCTTACGTAACAATCACGCTATATAAGGCTGTCTTAAGTTTATATTATATTTTGCGCGATATTTGCAGGTTAACTGCAAGGACTCCCTGTACTACGTCATACTCACAGTACTTTATAACAGCGATGTTGACTGGAGCAGTGCAGGTCACCAGCTTGAGGTTCTGTGTTCCGTCTTCGGGCATAGCGCAATATTTTCTTAACTATGTTAAAAAAACAGGGAAAAATCCCTTATATTCAGTATTCTGTTATAGTGTGTTACGAATTCACCCCCATAGATCCTTTAAAATCCCTTCCAAACCATCAGCGGTACACCCCTCAACCCCTGCGATCGCTGCCATTGGGTGACATCAAAGCAGAACGATTTTCTCACCAATCAAGCTACAGGCTAGAACCTTCCCTTTCACAGCCACCCAATAGCGAGGATCAGGCCATGCTCACACGAAAATAAGATCAGCTCTCTGCAGCGCTCGTGTAGGGGGGAGATGGTCTGTGACGTCAAAGATCTGCGCCGGAAGAACTGGTCTCCTAGGTGAACACCTGACGGGTTTGTGCGTCGCTTTAATGATGCACAGATTAAAAAAAAGCAGTGTTTTTGTCCAATACTGGACGTTTAATGTACAGTTCATCAGGTGTGAGCAGTCTTTTAATTGTAATGTTAACTAACGTGTGATCTCAGTGATATGTTAATCTTGTGTTACGAGCCATCTGGAAGACGCATCTCTCCGAACAGGCTTCGAAAACAAGGAAAGAAAAAGCACATTGGATGTCCAAAAATCAGAATCTCCCTTTCAACAGTTTACTGTAAAAGGAAAACGGTGATTCGTATTTAAATTTCATTCATTTGGTACATGGAAGCGTTAAAAGTCTAAAACTGTTGCATATCCCAAAACTAAGATTTTGTTTTAATTATGTAGTTTGATCGCGTATTTTTGTATTACGAATTTAAGGATTGGTGGGGGTGTTTCCGCCCCCTATACTGCAAAACAGGAAGATTCTTCACAGACCCCGGTATCGACTATTTGTGGGCTAAGGCTGAACTTCGGTGGACGAAGTCCCCGAACTCTTCCGATCCTGTCCGTAAACAGCCGAGTCTGAAGAGCCGAAGAATTCCGAAAAGACCCGAAGCAAACCCCGGAAGTGTTTTTTTTTTACGTACGGTGTGAGTCAGATTACAATGGGGGTAACTGCAATGAAACGAATCAAATCTTTTTACACTTAACTGTAACAAAGGAAAATACTACAGCTTCCGAAACAAGGACTATTCGGTAAGAGGGGCATCGCAGCAATCTATGTTAATATGCGAGTTGAACATAAGAAAATAAATCGCTGGTACACATGTATATTGGAGCTGGTTTATTTGTAATGAACAGTACCTTGCTAATTACCCAACACGGAGAATCGTAAATTCTCCCGAGCGGAGTGTGCAGTATGTTGTTTGCTTTTGTGTTTTGCCATATTAAACAAAGCTTAGATTTTTTTTTTTACGCTCACGAAAGTGAATGTTTTCACACATGTCATAACGTTGCCTTTTAACCTTTCCTGGCCTGAAATACCGGTGGCTGAGTTAGCAACATTGCCAATCGCAGATCTATCGCTATTAATCTGTTAGCGAATGCAAACCTGTTTTCCAAAGGTGTAGCTCTCGCCCCGTTAAAGGAGCAGTAATTTAGGAAGGGCATATGTATATTATTAAAGTACAGGGCTGGATGAAAATCAGAAGCGCTCTGTGTGGCATCTTCTGCGGTGAGTGATTCTGAAGCTAATGTGTTAAAGCCTCCGTGTTTAAGTCCTCTTTCGTTTGTCAAAATAACCTGAGCTCATCTACTCACGATTAAGTAGGCATCCGTGAATATTAACATTAAGGTAGAAATTAACAATACCTGTTTACAAGATGAAATCTGAAATAGTCAGAGGGAACGGCCACTTGCCTGCCACAAGCTCATTTTAATACAGGCATGTTATTGGCGAAAAGTGTTTACCTGCTCCTCGTCTGTACAGTAGCTTTGTGTATCGTACTGGCTTAAGGCGCAAGGTGAAATCGTACTTTGAAATAATGTACTTTTTTATCAGTTCCTCGAAAATCTACATTAATAATAAACGCTTCCTTTTCGGAGGAAAACTCTGGACAACTGGCGAGCACGCTTCGTGAGCAGTGCAACAGAGAGATTGTTTTTTTTTAAAAATGCATCCCCCACCTCTTGCGATTTTATCAAACATTTGAGACTGGGCTGGGTGTCTGGAGTTATCCTTCTGAAGGTTGTGCTGGCCAGTGCCGCTAAGAGCTTCTTGGGCACAGGGTGGGGTGGCGAGAAACACGGTTTTAAAACTGTTGCCACTTGGAGGGGGGAAAAGACCCAATTTAGCGGCGTAAAGACGCGACATGAAAACACTTTGTATCGAGTGAGCGTCCAGGAAGTTCAAGAGGGAAAGGAAAGGAGATGTGGCGTCTTTTCCCCGGCTGCTTGGAGAAGTTGCCGTCTGTGGTTAATGGGTTATGTGGGGCAGGAGCGCTGTAATTGATCTCGGTGTCTGAGACAGGCCAGAACACCCCCCGGAGAAAGCGATGTACTTTATTGAAACGGGGGGGCTCTCTCAACAACAGTGCTGAGAGCGAAGCTCTGATTCCTGATCACATTTCTGGTTTAAAAATGGAATCATGTAAAAAATAATACTATTAACGTACATTTGCCCTTCCATTTTCCTGAACATTGTAAGTGCTCGTCTTTCAGCGTGAAAGCTGAGACAAGGGTCAAAGGAGTTGTATTTTCGTCTCGGCAAAGGTTCAATGTGAATTGTGTGTTTGGTAGGGTGAGGCTTTGGATTAGTGGTAATTGTTTGTACAAATGCTCTCCATTAGCCTTTACGATTCTGCTAACTATAATGGTTGACAGCATTTCCTTTTTAATACGTTAAAATTAAAAAGGTTTAGCTTTCTTCTGCCTCCTTAGACACCTGCGCACCTGAAGTCAGTTAAAGAAGAGATTTATGTTTTACTACGTAGAAAATCATTCTGAATCAGAACGTCATTGTTGTTTTGAATTCCCTGTGTTTGCTCAATTTGTTCTTGTCGTTTTATATTTGGGAGAATCTGGGTTAAAGATCTTGAATTCAGTTTTAAGCACATTTAGGATGTGGATATTTATAAATGTAACTTCTAAAACTGGGCTGTAGGTATTATCAGTGGAATTGATCTTTTTTTCTTCAGTGGGGTTTCTTGCTCTTGTAGAGATCTCCGAATAGTATCTGTAGTATCTGTCCAGAATAAAAACAGCATCTGAGAGGTCTGGGGAGGGTCTCTTTTGTGATGGCAAAGAGCTTTTTAGTGCATCTCACCCTTTCAGCCAGCTCGTTAATGGGGGGTGTTCTACCCTAGAGGAAATCTGGGACTCCCCCCAGACTCTCACAAACCTAGCTCCCCAAGGACAAGAATCATGTTCTAAATAATGGACACGACGATCAGATCAGTCCTGTGAGTGTTGTCTGGTGTAGAAAAAAGGAGGGTGATCAGTTAAAGTGACCCAAAAACCTGCTGAAGTTACCATTTCTTGAGCATTGAGAAGTAGACCAGGTTGTTGCTTTCGGCATCCTTAAAATAACTTGACCCTGGTGCTTGAAATCTAATGTGAGTAACTAAAAAACCTAGAAACTGCATTTACTGTTTCAGCTCATGCATTGAGCGTTCTCGCATGGTTCAGTGTGGATTGCCTTTGCATTCGGATTACGTGCTTTCGGAGTTTCTTCTCTCACTGATAATCACAGATGAGAAGTCCACAAGGGCATTTCTGCCGCAGACTCCCGGTCTCGTTACGTTGCTTCAGAAGCGTGCCTCGTTACACGGGACTGGGCCATGTTGTGATTTATTTGGTTTCTGAATGCGTCTTGGTCTGGCGTCGCACGTTCTAGACGGGCTCGCAAGGCACATGGATGGCCAAGACTTCCCAAACTCAAACGAGGCAGGAAGCAAGCCAAACTAGAGAACAGGGTAGGCTGGTTATGCTAATTGGTGTGTTTACCCCCCTGCTGCGCAGTACTGTACTCATTCTGATCAGCGGAGCACAAGGGATGTAATTGGCACGAGCTGCAGGCAAGTCGGAGTTTGGCCAGCCCGGGGCTCGCCTTGGGCGCTCAGCTGGTGCTGGGGGCTAGCGTGATGAAGCCTGTCCAGTGACCTTGGCGTATCCGTCCTGCCAGGGCTGACGCCCAAGAAACCTGAGCTGCATCGATCACCCGTTTCTCAGAGGCCCTGGACTCTTTTGGAAGCAGCGCAGGCTGGCAGTGTGAAGGATTTGCTAGGATCCCCTGGGGTTCTTCTATCATCTTTTGTTTTAAGTTGTTTATCTGTCTTTTGGCTTTGCAGTTATAGCCCTCCACCTTGTTTTCTCGCCACGGGGAAAAAAACAAGCTGTCCCCCACATGCACAGCAGAGCTTTTGTAAAGGGAGGGGTGCTCTGAGTGTGACTTGTTTCATGTGAAATTTGTCGCTGAAATAAAGCGATGCACTGCTTTTATTTTGCCGACGGCAAGAAAATAATTTTATTGAAGTAGTTAGCTGTGTAGAACATACGGAGGCACAATCTAAAGCAATTTAAAAGGGGAACATGGAGTCGTATGGCAAAAAGGCCTTTGATTGCTGGCATTATTTTTATGATTATGGCACCACTACATTAAAGCTCATTTGAAATTGGTAGCAATCATGCAGGCTCTCCTGGTGTATAATCTACAGCAGGGCTCTTTCATTACAATGCACATTTCAGTGCGTGGAAGCTTGGAAAAGAGGTCGCTTTTAGTCCTGGCAATAAATCTTGGTTGTCATGGTGCATTTTACTTGGGCTCTTTGTCCCCGAGCAGGTGGAATATTGACACACTTGCATTCTCTAATGAAGGCTCTGGGTGTGTTTCTAGGTATCCGGCTCTTGAATGCTGTTCGGTAGACCTCGCTCGGCCACGGGCCTGATGAGTGGACGGCATGCCTGTACAAGACTGAAATTCTGAGGTGAGTTCACGGGGACTCAAGCTTGCAAGGGGGGTGATAGTTGTCAAGTAAACAGTGGTGTTAAATGGGGTTCTCTATCCTGGGGAAGAAGGTCGAGGCCTTCGCAGGTACAGTCCTCCTTGTGCACAGGCACTGAAATGAGCAGTCCTTGGGTGATGTTCTGAAGGAACAACTGTATCACTTTTTCCTCAGTTTGGTGATGGTAAAATGCAAGACCTTTAATTTTGTGAAAAATGCTCTGATTAGCTGGCAGATTACTTACCAGATTAGCTGGTAAGTAAAAAGCATTTCTGCCCCGCTCTGCTTTGACCCCTGGGAGTTTCTGGAGGTGATCCCTGAGGTCAGTTACTCGGAACCCGATACTGTAAGTTGTACACGTGGGCCACACTGCTCTCCTGTAGCACCCCTGACAGCAGGCCGAGAATAGAGGCAGCAGCTCGAACAGCATCTGTTCTTCCAATTAGTGCTCCAGTCTTTTCACTCTGGAGCTCTTTGGTGGGAAAATCAATACTGTGCTCTCCTCGGCTGAGGGCCTTCCTGACAACGAGCTTCTAGGTCCGACCTTGTGGTGAAATGGGAATAAGAAAACAAAGTACTAGAATAAGTTGGTATCTGGTTAAATAGTTCATTGTTGGGGCCCCTATTCATTACCTTTTTTTTAAAAAAACTTGTCTGGCGAAGAAAATAGCTCTGTTCTGTTATTTCCTGGAGACGAACGTGTCGCGCGGCTCCCGATGACGCCGGCCTGTCCCAGCCGCGTGCGGACGGATTGAAGCCGTGTCCAGTAGGGCGATGACGCGACCTCTGTGGCTTCCCTGGTGGGTCGTTGCCTTGACCTTGGAGCTCTTGGGCCCCTTGCCTTTCACTTATCAAGGAGCAAAGCTGTACAGAATAAGACACGAGCTGGGGTTCATTCAGGGGCATGTGGCTGGCATCCAGCTTCTCGAGACGGAGGGAGGCAGGCGAGTCTCCTCCGTTGTGAGGTTTCACGGTAGGTTCTCTCTGTTCCCAGCCAGCAGCCAGGGGAGCCAGCCGCCAGTTAAGCAGGTTAGCAAGAGAGCCATCGTGGCAGCCAGCGGGCGCTGTGCTGGTGCGGGGCAGGGCAAGGTGGGGTTACCGGAAGGAGGACCGGAAGGGAGACGGTTTCCTTCCGGCGGGTGCGAGGACAGGCCAAGGACCCAAGGGCTTGTGGTGTCTTTGTGCTCATTGAGTCATCCGCGGCTCTGACGGCACAGGCCCTGCGTTTCCACGTGTTCCTGCCGGGCTGCGGCTCTGTGCTTTTACGTCTCGGGGCAGGGTGAGATTTTCCAATCGGCTTCGTCGAGAGTTGAGTCTTGAACAGAAGAGGGGAGAATGAGCGGGTCTGGTTCAAGTGCCGTCGAAAGCCTTGCTCTTGGTCTGCTTGAGCTCCCGAAGGGCAGAGACTCTAAAGACGCGCGTGGGAACTCCGGAACGGTTTACTTGGGCCACAGCACAGGTGGCGCTTCTTACAATTTCTTTACGCGTTGTTAAGTGTTCTCGTGTTGTGTTGTTGGTGCCCACTTCCCAAGATGTTTTAGAAGAAACATCTGACTGGATAGATAAAAACTGCTGAATGAAGATGATGTACTGGCTAAGCGAGAGCAAGTTTTCCGTTGTTTTATGGCAAATGCTAAATGCCATCTTCAGTTTCACATAACCTTTCATAAATTAATGACAGCTATTGGCCCTTTTGTTGTTTTTTTTTTTTAAGCGTTGATGAAATTGTTCTTGTTCTAATTTCTGTCCTTTGTTTTAGACTCTCTGGAATTTCATGCTAAAAGGTATCATAACAGTAGAATATATGCTGTGTGCTAATAGCGCTGGTGGTGTGTGCTTTAGTCTTTTAAGTATTTTAAGTGAATTGAGAGCATATGTTCATTTACACTGGTGGCTTGGTATATTTTTTAAAATATTTATTACAGCAGTCTGAGTGAGGTACCATTCTCATGATTACAACAGCAGTGTCCCATGTGGGACCTGATCCCACTCTGCTGCAGTCTGACCATTCCCGCATGGCCTGGTCACTGACCACATGCCCTGACATGGACGAGCACCACACAGCAAGGCCCTGTGATCACGCCCAGCATGACAGTGACTCACCATCCATCCTCACATTACAGCCATATTGCAAGAGGAACTTCTTTTGTTCACTGGTTTGCAAACATAAAAACAGTTCCTGGAAATGTATTAAATCTCTTTCCCCCTTTTTTTTTTCTTGTTTTGCCTTGGCCAGTTTTTTTGTAACCCGGACAGGTATCGGTTTTCATATTTAAATGTAGCCATTCAACAGCCATGCCATTGCAAAACGTAAGGAATTTAAACAAGGTTGCATCTAGTCACAATAGGTGCTTGTCAGCAGAGAGAGAGGTCTCTTACTGGCAGGTCTGTAAGCTTGCCATGGTGTTTTTGCAACTTGAAAACATGAATGCCAAACTAGAACACATTCTTTGCATTCTTGTCATCTAGAAATGAATTTACAGTAATTTATAATCGCTGACTGAGCCCTTCACTGTTTTTTAATGCTGATTTGTTTCAGTTATGGCTCAGTTAATGTAGAAAATGTGGCCAAGTATGATATGGTCGCTATGGAGAGACTTCATGCTTTACCAGAAATATACTTTTTTTTTTAACATTTATTTCTATTGTTGCCCAATAGTTCCTTCAGCTAGTGTCATTTTAACATGAAGCAACATTTTGAGTTTCTTTTATTGACCCCAGATTAGTAAGAAGTCATTTGGATCCTGTAACCTCTCAGCAGTTATCGTTGCAGGGTTATTTGTCATTCTAATTGCAGTGCCTGATCTTTCACGGTGAGAGTTGTCACAGGTGATCTGTGTCTCGGCTGTCTCCTTGCTGGCCCTTTTCTGTGCATTCGCATAAGGAGGAAGCACACCGCAGTCTGTGCCAAGGATGCAGCTGGCACAGAGTCCTACAGGCGGTCAAGTCAGGCAAATGCTTCCTTGAGGAAGGCAGCTGTGGTCAGTGTTGGTGTCTAGTGCCTCCTCTTTTGCATTTACTTTGCTTGAGTCAGGTGAACCAATTTTTTTTAATTCATTTCTTGAGCTGTTTGTCTGAAAATGTTGCCCACTCAATGTTGTCTTTCTTGTTTTAGTTGGCCGCTGGTATTAAGTTACTTCATCTTTCCTCCGAAACCTTGAACCTCACCTTTCAGTCTAAAAGCTCCTTTAGGACAGAATGTCTTGAATCTCGTTCTGTTTCTTCATTGATATTGTGTTTTAGAAAAAGGGATTTGGATTTTGTTGGGTATCTAGACTAAGTTTAAATAAACGAATAAATCACCACTTTCCTTGGCTTGCCGTTTTAACCCCAGTGGAGGTTTTTTTTTTTGCTTTCTGAGGAACAAATTGTATTTAATTCACCTCAAATGTTAAATGAAGGTTTGAACAGTGACATGATCAAGAGGGAGTTTGTTTCTGATGCTTTATACCTAATTAAATATTGAAATGAAGAATGTGCACATCTGTGCTACAGTGGAGTGTAATACTACTACCTAGTGGTGTTATTCACGTGACCAAGCATGAATCCTGAGTGTCTCTTGTAAGGAAGAACTTATGGTGACTGAGGCATCAGTATATCAGAGTAAAGTAGCAAACTCACAAGCCTGGATACAGCTTTTCAAGTAAACAAAGTGGTTGTAAACAGAGGAGACTTCTATTTTCCCCCAAGGATTTTCTCCCAGGACAGTCTTCTTGATTATTTTTGACTAATGTTTCACAAATTCACTTGTAGTCTTTAAGTTCATGAGATAAAGCTTTTTGATTGTTTAGATCCATTTCCTAACCAGTTTATCCTTTATTATTTAAATTAAATGTTTATTTATACAGGGTTGTGGGGAGATGGAGCCTATCCCAGCAGGCAGCAGGTGCAAGGCGGGGTACACCCAGGGCACCCTGGACTAGACGCACAGTCCCTCACACAGACGCACACTCGCACCAGAGCCAATTGTGAGCACATCAGTGTGTGCCCTGCCGTGGACAGGCGTCCCATCCAGGGCGTACCCCGCCGGCAGCTCTTGGCCTCCCCTGCAGCGGAAGGAAGGTGGAGGGGTGGGCGTGACTGATAACTGATCTTGGGGAGCGCATCAAGTCTGTCTTCTTCCAGGTCAGGGAGCATGCAGTCTTCGGGCCACCGGCTTCGTGATGTGGAGCACCATCCTCTGCTGGGTGGGGAGGAGGACTTTGAGGGGCCCCCGGGTGACGGGGAGCGCGTCTGGTTCATCCGGGACGGCTGCGGCATGATCTGCGCCTTCATGACCTGGTTCCTGGTCCTCTACGCCGACTTCGTGGTGACCTTCGTCATGCTGCTGCCCTCCAAGAGCTTCTGGTACGCCCTGATCAACGGCGTGGCCTTCAACTGCTTGGCTGTGCTGGCCCTGTCCTCGCACCTGCGCACCATGCTGACTGACCCGGTGAGTGGTGGGGCTGGGAGGGAGGTCGAGACACAGGGGATTGTGGGAAGGTGGTAAGAGCTGTTGGCTCTGCAGGTCTCTCATATTGTGTTTCACTGTACAGGAGTAACCCACTCAGTCCTTTATATCTTATGGTTTTATGTTTTAGCATGCTAAGATAGTTACACAGCACAGAGGGAGTTGTTTGCCTTTGGAATGTAATCTCAGGCATCTCGTATATTCTCTGGCATGTGTGGGGTGCAGAGGTCTCCCTGGATGTGTGTATATTTGAGTCCCCCAGCTCCGTGTGCGATTGCTTTCCTCTGCTGTTGAACTCCAAGGTGCTTACGGTGCCTTTTCTGCACGGAAATGCTGCTGTGCTGTCAAAAGCACACCGGCAGCCTTACCTGAGTCAGCCAGAAACCAAGCAGCTGAGGTCAAGGAACTGGGAATTGAACGAAAACAGAGATGTTTTTTTGCTCCACTCTGATTGGGAGCATTGTGCTGGGGGTTTTCCTAGACCTGGCCTGAAGGACAAGCTCTTCCCCAGTGTATAGAAATGTGAGACAGAGTGGCATTGCGCTCACAAGGTTACAGTGTACAGAATATTTGTCTCGTTAATGCAGCTACTGCAGAGATGCTATGAAAGACTGAGAAAGACAGGAATTCAGACAAATTCATGTTTACACCAAACAGCGACGGAGCAACAGTATGGTCGCTTTTAACCAGCTTGAGGCTAGGAAAAAGAGAAGGAGAAGAGATGTTTAAACCATAAAACTTCAGATTGTCCACCTCAGGATTAACCGTAAAATTACAAAGGAAATCTTTTTCTCCAGTGTGACACCCCTGGAGCCAAGTCACCTTCCATCCATCCATTTTCTGAAAGCAGTTTGTTGCTGGACAGGATTGCAGGATGGTCGCAGAGCCCGTAGGAACCTGTCACGGACAAGGCGGCGCTGAACCTTGGACAGTTGTCGCACACTCTCTTTAGAGAAGGCAGTTCTTCTAACCAGCATGTTTTTGAAAGTTGAGAGGAAACCAGAGCACCTGGAAAAAACCTTGTGTGAACACGGGAGCACACGCAGTCCCCACACAGAATCGAGCCTGGGGCCCAGTGACAGTGAGGCAGTGTTAACACTGTGGTGTGCACACCTTCCCTAAATTCTCATGTTGATTGTTTAATCAGCTAGACTCCGCAGACGGGCCCCGGTGCGCTACAGGAGTGCGGTGTGGCACTGTGATTGCGTGACTCCGAGCAGAGTAGGAGCAGACACTCTTCCTGATGTCACTCAGATTGGTCTGTGTTTGTAGGTTACCTGCTCACTGTCTTCGCCATGCCCAGGATTCCAGGTGCATGAAGAAGTCTGGCAGGAATATTGTTTATGTCCGATATGTGGCTGCAAAGGGAGGCAGGTCAAGAGATCACCTGCACCTTGCAGTGCTTTTTGTTCTTGGTGTGGAAGTCCTAAGGAGAGCTCTGGGAGTAAGCACTGTTTATTAGAGAGGGCACTGAACAGGATAACATTCGGACTGGGGGTACCTTACAGCTTGCAAGGAGGAACCCACACTTCTAAACAAGCACCAGCTATCCCTGATAACTTTAAAAGCTGTGGCCATTGACTCACTAACTGAGGATAATGGTAGAGTTCTGTTTCCCAGTCTGGCCTTGATTCCTGCGTGGTGCGTGTGCATCGTTCTCATTCAGGTTCGGCGAATCCCAGGCGTCGCTTACAGAAGCCAAAGCCGTGGTTGCCACACAGCAGAACAGGGGCATCAAAGCCCATTTTGCCTCTGTCTGGGCCTGGAAGCACACTGCTGGTCCCCTGCTCACTGTGCTCTGTGCTCTGCAGGGTGCTGTGCCAAAGGGCAACGCCACGAAGGAGTACATGGACAGCCTGCAGCTCAAGCCAGGGGAGGTCATTTACAAGTGTCCAAAGTGCTGCAGCATCAAGCCGGAGAGAGCCCACCACTGCAGGTGAGGGAGGGACTGCCCTTCTCGAGCACCGCGGCGCCCCCTGCGGGCCCCGGAGGGTTCCGAGCACGTCGCCAACTCTCTCCTTTCCCACTCCAGTGTGCCACCTGCTGCTCGTTCCCGCCTTTGTAGGGATTGATTGTTAACGTTGCGTTGAGTGAGACGAAAATTGATGGGCTCTCGGGCACCAGGACCTCTACCCGATGAGCACTATCATGTGCGCTCAAAGCAGGCGAAACTGGAGCAAACTGCAAACTACTGCAGCCGTGTGGGTTACCGAGATGAGACGCTGTCTTGACAGATGGGTTGAGTTTGGGGTGGATTGGGTGATTGCTTAAGATAAGCACCGGGATATTTTATAGCATAATTCAAGACAGCAGAGGTATCAAAGCACTTCATATTTTGAAGGTTTTTAATCAGATGTAATGTGGTCTCATGATTCTCTGTTCTCTCTGCTCCACAGTATCTGTAAGAGGTGTATTCGGAAAATGGATCACCACTGTCCCTGGGTCAACAACTGTGTGGGGGAGAACAATCAGAAGTTTTTTGTGCTCTTCACAGTGAGTAGAGCCTCTTCTGAGGGGGGTGTTTTAGTTAACACAGGGACTCAGGAGGCTCACCTGGTGTTGACAGATGTGTTTTTTTATGAAGAGGCATAAGTGGAGAACAGAGTGAGTTTCCCCACCGTCAGCTAGTACTGAGAGAATTTTAGCTACTCTTAATGGACACTGCTTGTGTTGTACCTTGTCCCTTTGGGCACTTTGGTTACTTCTGTAATGAGTGTGACAGGTCTTGGCAAAAAGCGCCTGCCTGTTTGCAAGATGCACGTCAGAATACTGTAGGCAGGGCATGTCTCTGAAGTGGCAGGCATCATTTTGAATGATGATAAACATCTTCAGGGCCTCAAAAGGTGCTAGCCCATGAACAATTTGAACCGTATCATGCAGGTGTCGTGAGTTTGACCTTTTTTTAACTAATGGTTAACTTTTTTTAACCATTTCATGCAAATTGGTGTTTTGGGCTTTCTCGTGTAGAGATCTCTTCAGGGCCATGCTTAACAGAAAGGAAAACAGGAAGCTAGCTGGCAGGGCCAGCAAAATTCTTGCACTGTTACATCATGTTGTATAAATAACTTGTTGTTGGATTAATGCTTGATGTGAAAGTAGTTACTCCCTTAATTATGTCTGAGCAACAGTTAATAGGCCATGAGCACCTGAACGAGGAGACCAGGGATCGAATGCTCCCGGCTCCAGTATCCTTTTCTTTTAATGTTATTTTTTTTGTGTGTGTGTGTGATGAGGCATCAGGGAAACGTAAGGATTAAAAAAGGCTGGTTCCAAAGAAGACCAGTACTGACGGTGTTGTAAGATGTATGCCTGCTTTTCATTTTGGTGAAGATGAATTGAGATGTAAATGTTCTTCCTCTCTCTCTCTCTCTGCAGATGTATATAGCAATCATTTCCACCCATGCGCTCATCCTGAGTGGACTGCAGTTTTTCTCCTGTGTCAAAGTCCAGTGGAGTGGTAGGTGTCAGTGACCATAGACCTCTTTACAGGCCAGGCATGCAAATACCCCAGGTGCCTTTTTTTACATTTAAATTCATGATTTTCTACAAATCATCCTCGGGCTGTCTGGGTTCGTCTTCAACGTGCCTCAAAAAACGCCGCTCGTGTTTGGTGCAGCATACTTCCAGCTGCAAATGCACCTCCTCTGAATCACAACTTGCCTGGGTCCACACGTCTCTGCTCACCCTGTAGTCACTTGGGCTGAGAGTTTTGTAGACTTGAATCCAACCTCCTTGTAGTCTCCTGTGCTCCTGTGTGAAAACAAAAGAGGTTTGGTTCCTCTGGTTGCGTGTGTATGTGACAGAGCTTAGAAGACTGTATTGAATGTTGGTTCGGCCCCATTATTGTAAGCAAGCAAATAATGCAATCGAATGATATCTGCAGTGGTGTAAGAGCTGCAGCAGATAGTACCTGTGGCCCACCAGTATAAAGCACCAGTCATTCTGCTGCTCCGGCACTGGGGATGTACAGTAGCAGTGCTGAACGGAATAACCATTGAGGTCTCTGGGAGAAGGAAAAAGATGCTGGACTCCCGAGGTTAACTGACATTTGTATAAAAGCTGTACCGATTGCATCCGATTGTGACTCTGTTTAACTATATGTGACTAGTCTTCCACAAATTCACTTGTAATGTTCATAACACGTAGCAAGTTTTTCTGACCCCTGAATCCAATTCAGGGTCGCGCAGGGAGCTGGAGTCTATCCCAGCAAGCAACAGGCGCAAGGCAGGGTACGCTCTGGATGAGACACCAGTCCATCGCAGGGCAGACAGGCACAAACACACACAGACATGCTCTTACCCACACCAGGGCCAGCGTTCCCAGAAGCCAATTGACCCATTAAGTAATGGCTGTCCTCAAATCATTTTGCAGCCTGTGTGTGGTAGGTTTATAGCAGTGTGCTCCAGTGTTGTAAAAAAAGATTTTCAATCTTCAAATGACGATGCTGGATGTCCACACTGTTGGAGCTGCCCGAGGACTGACTGACGGCTGGACCGCTGCTGTATTTCTCTGCAGAGTGCAGTGACTTCTCCCCCCCGGTGACCGTCATCCTCATGATCTTCCTGTGCTTGGAGGGGCTGCTTTTCCTCACCTTCACTGCCGTCATGTTCGGCACCCAGATCCATTCCATATGCAATGACGAGACGGTGAGTGAAGTACAGGCTCTGCAATTGTCTCCTCTGTGTCTCTCTTTATATATGCAGATATTTACAGGCTGTCTTTATTCACATGCATAATCTACATCCAGCCTTCTCTCTATTAATCCACTTGCTCATGGTACATTTGCACATTTCGTCTTGCATTTTCAGCCGCAAAGCACTTGAGCAGTGATTTCTTTTTTTTGATCCAGTGTTAAAAAGTTCTGTGCATGGAAGTTCTTCTGAATACTCATAGTTTCTAATTACGCTAAGCACTAAAGTATCCTAATGTAACATTAAGAAGAAGATCTGCAAGAATAAAGAACGTATTCAGCTCTTTTAGTCGGCAGCCTCCTTGTGCAGGAGATATTTCAAAATACCTTCAGAGGCTGATTGCTAAAAGCAAAGCCTTAAACTTGGGTCTTGCAGCCTAATTAGAAAAATTAATGTCTTAGGAGCAGCAATGCAAACACAATCTTTGAATTCATGGCTCTTCTGCTTTTCTGATCATTAAAAAATAACACACCAGACTAATATGGCTTAATATTAATATTTTGTATAAGTCGAACGTGGTCATATCTACTGTAATCCTTTTACTTAAGCCTTTGTCTGAAAGCCCTGTTGCAGATGGGTCTGGTTTGCCAGTTGTATGGCTTTCAGCTTTCTTGATTGTTGGATCTTAGAAGATTTACTCAAGTTAAAAATACCAACATGCTTAGATTGTTTGTTCCTATTAAATTATAGGTCCTTCTCCACTTAAGGTTTGATCAGAAATCAGTTTTAAAATGAATTACTAAATGTCAAATTTGTAGATTTTGCAAGATTTCTGATATGTGCCCTACTTCTTCATTTATGTGTGCAATCTGCAACAGACATTGGGTAACTTTTTGTCAACATGGTAATCTTGACAGTCCGTAAAGAGTCCACAATAAAGAAGTCTTTCTGATGGACGGACCAGTACAGTACCTGACTTGAGCTGGGTATTGAATTTGAAGGGAGAACAAATACATATTTTCAGGCCCATTACCACAGAAAACAAGGTTTACTATTCTGGTACAATTGATCCAGCGGGATTAACACGGATGTATTTGGAATTTTCCCTGAATGCAAATCCTAAGCACTGTCCAGGACTGGATTGTACAATCGCTACAAGAGATGGGATTGTGATCTTCCTGTGTATTATTGTCTAAGCACTGCCATGCAGTTAATATTCCTGGTGGACTTTGATGGATACTGGGAGTGGAAGACTGTCATGCTGTCGTGAACTGATCATATGTTAATAAGAATTTGATGTAGCAAATCATTTTAGTCCTGTATGCATAAGAGAAGTAAAAATATGGGATTAATCACTTCTATGAAACTGGAAAATAGCAAGAGTCTCTGGCCCTGTGAACAAATGTATCTGAAAAGTGGATTTCTGTGCTGGGTTGAAATAGCCAAAAAGTTGAACAGTATGAAACTCTTTTCTTTTTAAGTGCATACTGATTAGTGAGATAAGATTTAAGGCTCTTTGTTGGCCATTTAGATGTGTTCTGCTGTTTAAATGCAGAAAGGCTTTGCCCAGGAAGTTCCTACTGTAAGTAACTGGTAGAAATGTGGAGTACAATACACAGCTTACTTGTTACGGAATGAGTGTTGCATATTAAAATGTTTCTCAATATGTGCTTGAAGAACACAAGTTAAAGCCACACAAGTTTTATCGCTAATCTTGATTTGCAGTGACTGTTTTATTGCTCAGAAGGTAGCAAGTGTGCGTACATGAGGAAAATGCAAAGGCAAGATGACCCTGTTGTGTTCCAAATGCAATTCGTTAAAAATCTGCTCTTGCCCCGATTGTGTAAAGGCTGAAGTATTGCTTTGAAGTGCACTCTGCAGTTAAACAGCTGAGGCCAGAGTCCTGAGGAGCTGGCATCTTGTTCTTCGTGAGTGTAGATTTCTGCCCTGTCTGCCCCTGAGGGGCGCAGCGATGCATGTGGACTGAGGTAGGTCAAAGCGAAACAAAGGCTGTCTGTGGAGGAGAGCTCTGTTCGTAGCGTGTGCTTTATCTGTTAAAAAGAGCTCTTTATCGCAGTCTCCTTGAGGCAAAACAGGAAAAAAAATAAAACCTGTCCAAGAGTGTTTTCGTCATGGGCAAAGCAGAATAGTTTACTCTTCGAGGAGGGGTTCATGAGGGATTTCTGCAGTCACTGAGAGGCGTGCTCGAGTTAAATGTGTTTTAGAGGTATAACGGCACCAGCCTGTTTAATCCGTCTGCATTAATGATTCCCGTTTTTATTTCAAAATCATTTTTGACAGTGGCACAACTAGCCGTAATGTGAGCGCTCTCTCCTTTTGCGCCTGTAACGTTCCAGAGTGGTCTCTGCCGGTACTGTAGTTGTTCCCAGCGGGTGCCGGGGCAGTGTTGTATGGGTGAAGGCGTGCTCTCAGCTGCGCCCCGCCGGCCGTCTAACCCGCGCCTGTCCCTGTCCGGCAGGAGATCGAGCGGCTGAAGAACGAGAAGCCCACGTGGGAGCGCCGGATGCGCTGGGAGGGGATGAAGACGGTGTTCGGGGGGCAGCCGTCCCTGCTGTGGATCAACCCCTTCGCCGGGCTGCGGCTGCGGCGCCTGCTCCCCCGCGCGGCCCGCCGGGGAGGCCCCGAGTTCTCCGTGTGAGGCCCCTCCTCCCCCCGCCCGCCCCAGAAACCTTCAGTCTGTGGCACCCCACCTCCCCACCCCCCAGTCCTTCAGTCTGTGGCACCCCTCTCCCCCCCACGGGCCGGGGACAGAGCAGCCCCCAGCCGGGCGGACTGGACAGCCGCTGCCTCCACACGCGTCCCGGGCGCCCCTCCTGGCCCTGCTGCCTGCCACGGTCCGAGACCTCCCCAGCCAGAGCGGCGCGACACCCGAGGAGCTCGCCTGGCGCAGCACCCGAGGAGCTCGCCTGGCGCAACACTATAAAAGCCTCCGAAAGGTGGACGAGACTTCGCAGGGAGCCCCCGGCCTGTGGAAGCGCTTGTGTCGGAGGGGACGTGGTGGAGCTTGTCTGGGGAAAGCGGGGCTGTCCCACGTGCTGTTTTTATTCCCTCCCGACATGTCCTGTGTTTCTATATCAGTGCTGCTTACTTCTTTTTCTAATTACTAGTTTCTAATTAATTCTGGGTCTGTATTGGGTCCACAATCCACAGCACATGGCAGTATTGGTCTTGACCAGGCCCGCCTGAGCCAGCAACTACAGAACTGACCAGCAGGCAGAGCAGCTGGAGAAACTGCTGTACAAATCCTTTGGAGAGTTCTTAATCAAGGCATTTCACTCTTATCTTTCTCTCCCTTCTTCCGTTTGAACCTTTATGAGGTGTGGTTTTTAGAAGGCTACTGCAGGATCTTCATTTTACATGCCTCTAAGGTAAATGAATGCAGTATATTAAACAAACAGTCATTATTGTTGATCCCCACCTCCAACACACTCTTCGTTTCATTTTCTGTTAGGTAAGAGTGTGCATCAGCTGTCCTTTTCATTATGAGGGTATCCAAGACACATTAGTGCTAGTTATTGCTGTGCAGCAGCCAGTGATCAGGATAAATACAGGCAGTAGTCAGAAGCCAGTGCATTTCCTGAGCTGGCCGTGAGGAGCACCTCGGGCGCCTTGCGGAGGGCAGAGCAGGGGAGCACGAGGTTGGTGTGGCTGAGGCCTTGCTGCCCAACTGAGGTGCCCCTGAGCCTGTGAGGTTAGGAAGAATAGGCAAGGGCATGCTTCTCGGAAAGAGCTCGGAGAGACCCGACGTCCGTGATAATCCCTTCGCAGCCCGTGGAGTAGAAGACCCTGGGCTGGAGAGAGGGCGCAGGGCACTCGGAATGCTCTTGGGCCGGAAGCGAGTTGCACAAGAGGCAGTTGTTTGAAGCCTGCAAGGCCCTGTAAGGCGTGCAGCTTACTTGAGCTCTTTTAAATCGTCGTATCTCCAGCTGTTGTTTTTTTTTTTTAGCTGCGAGGTGTCGCTCAGTGGTAAGGTTATTGTGGTCACGTTTGTTGTTTAAAACTGCCCCCATAGCATTCAAAGAAGCCACTTTCTTCGGTGCTGCTGCTTTCAAAGGTGACAGACGTCTGCCGGGGGACAAGCTGGCGAGCCTGGCAGCCTCAGACAGGCCTGCCCTTGGAGAGCCTGTGCCGGTCTCATGGTATCTTCTGTTCCGTCCTTTCACGGCTGGTCTTGCTGAGCTCCGATTGTGCACGACTGTCTACAAACCCCTCATCTCTCTGGGTCAAGTCAGTGGGGCTGGAATAGATGGTAGATAATTGCCTGTACTGTATTAATGAGTCTCCTAAAGGCCAAATATTGTAAATGCACACTTTCCTAAAACAGTATAAAGACTGCATGTATCCGACTTTTTTAGGGAAAGTATACATAAGCTGCCATCAATGCCAAATTAAAAATAGTTTTCTGCAGCTGGTGATTAAGTGGATAAGTCACTGAATGAACAATAGTATTTCATGTATTTGTTTTCCTCGCATTACCTTTTAAGCTCTTTAACCTCCTTCTTTTTCTCCTTCCCATGACTCAAAAGTGAGGTTGCGATAACTTTAGCCAAAATCAAGGAACTCGGTATTTACACATCATGAAGCTAATAAAGCATTTCGTTCTGCACCTGGCCTTTTCAGACTGTGCCTGGTGTAGCGCCCCATTGAAGACGATCAAATCATCGCTGTCCTTTGTTGGAAAACTGTGATAAGAATAAATGGCACGTGTTTGGTTTTTAATCTTGTTTGTTGTTGTTGTTAGTAATCTTACTGGCTCATATAATTTCATATGCATTCCATTTAAAAGCAGCAGTATGCCTTTGTTTCAGCAGTCCTTAATGCACCGGTCACTACCTCATTCATAAATGTGTTGTGTGATCCTAATAACTCATAGTAAAGCTGCACTTCATTTTAAGAGCCTCAGAAGTGAACAAAATGGGGGATCTCGGTCATATAATAATTACGTTAAGAGTGTGTGAAATCTGCAGACATGTACAAACTATTACACTGTATTTGAAGGTGCTGCAGGTACAACTAGAGTAGAATGCTGCCAGTGTTCCACTGTGGAGGGGTGAAGAAGCACAGTTTCTGTACAGTTTACTTTTTATTGATGGTGGTAGTGGTGTTTGTAGAGCTTATTTTCCTAAACTGTTGCATGAAACATGCATTTCTGTTTGCTGGTCGAAAGGGCGAAGCTCACTGCTTCTGTGCATCCAGCGATGTCTGTTGGAAAATACTCTGTAACGTTCATTGTGTAATGCTAGAGCACCGAACTTTAACAGAGGGCTGAGTCAATAGGTGTCGAAATGTGGAAATTATAAAAAGAAGAAAAGAGCAGGGTGAGATGCAAATATTTTAGGTCTGTTACTTGAAAACTCAGCTTCTCTCGAAAAATATTGGAAGATTTTAATTTTCTTCGTTTTGAAAGTTGGTGGACATTTTCTACCGTGGTGTTCTTTTTTCACGATAGAGTCATTAGGTTTTAACAGGGTGTGCGAAATGAAGAGTCAGCCGCTTTTACTCTTGACAGCAGCCTGCCTTGGGCTATGGACAAAATCTCGAAACCTTTGAAAGCCTGTCTCACGTCCTCCCCCTAGCGGAGATGGTGCGATATAGCAGGTTGCAGGTAGTCGGGCAGTTGCACTGAAAATCCTTCTTGAAACTTTCATGTTAATAACAATAATATTTAATAATAACTGCTTACACTTATATAGCTATTTTCTGGACACTCCACTCAAAGCGCTTTACACGTAATGGGGATCCCTTCCACCACCCCCAGTGTGCAGCCCCACACACCAGCTCTCGGTGGGGAGGAGAGCAGGTACTGACCAGGCTCTCACATGATGGACTTCGGTGGGCTGCCAATTAAAAAAATAATAGTGACTGCATTACAGGCAATCATGTGTAAACACTTTTAAATACATCCACGGGAAAATCACTGTTGATTAGTTCAGAAGTATGTTTTTATCTGAGTGAGTCTAAATTGTGACAAAAATAACATTCTTGTCAGTGCTACTTTTTAAATAAGTATTTGATTTGAATCCATGACAAATACAGAGGCTATACTAGTCAATCTAAGGTAAACATGACTATTATGTCACTTCTGTTAAATTGTGTAAAGCTGATTTTGTAGGCCTATTGTTTCACTTATTAATAGGTGAACTAAAAACTGCTAGGCTTGGCTATTCCTATAATTAATCAGAAAACCATTGTAAGGATCTGCACACAGCTCTTCAAGCTCTTACAAAAAAACAGAATGCTTTAAGAACAGCATTGAGACTGTCATAATTAAATGCCATACCAGGCAATTATTTTATGCGTGATTCTGAACGACAGAGTGACGTGCTGCTGCTGGCAAGGGTCCGACCCCAACACACTGACCTTCCCGATATGGCCGCCGGGGCGCTCCAGGGCCACCGCGCGGGCGCGCGTGCGCGGCTGCTTCCGCTCCTCCCCCATTGTGTTTCCGCCGCTCGTTAAAGAAACATGGCGGACGCTCTCCAGAGCCCGGGTAGTGGGTCTGGGGGTCCCGAGCAGGACTCGAGTGGGAGATGTGCGGATTCCGAACCTGTAGTGACCCGCTGGGTTGTGGATTATTACGTGTACCTGGCGCTCAGGGCCTTTCGCGATGGGCGGTGTGAGGATTTCTCTCAGATTCGGGACATCCTGCAGAGTGAGTATCCCCCTAAGTGAGTAGGTCGGGGTTTGTGTGTGTGTGTGTTTGTTTGTGAGTGAGTGTGTGTGTGTGAGTGTTTGTGTGTGTGTGAGTGTTTGTGAGTGTTTGTGTGTGTGTGTCCGGGTCGCCCCGCTGTGGACGGTGGAGGGGGCTCGAGGCGGCGGGGCTCGAGAGCGGGGCAGCCGCCGCGCGAGTGCGCGGGAAACGCGACACTTCCGGCGGGACCGCTGGCGCCGCCTGTACAGGAGTTTTTATTTTTATTGTCATCATGGGGGGGGGGAGACCATAAAGAAATACGGTTTCTAACTGAAACAGTGGAATATTTGTTGGAAGGTAACGAATAAACGGTCTTGATGTAGTCATTTTCGTATGGCAAATGTGATTTTGGGACTTGAGAGATGTCCTTGAAGTGATGGTAAACTGCAAAGAGACCAGATACAAATATTCTAAGTCCTTAAAGGCAAATGTCAGTTAGCAGACTTTGACAAGAAAGACCCACTTAAGAACAGGAGGCTCTTACTAACGCAGGGAGGTTTGAGATTTTGGAACAAGCTACAGAAATATGTTGAGGAAGCTGCTTCTCTACCGTCTTTCAAGAATCACCTGGATAGTGTCTTCAGATCCATTAATGGCTTTCTGATGGTCTTGATGGCCCAGGTAGCCTCTTCTCAGTTGTTGCTGTTTTTCAGTACTGTACTTTGTCGTCCGCTATACTGTGTGTCCGAGAGACAAGTGCGAGTTTCAGTGTACATGTCCATATGGCAACAAACTCCTTTCCTACTCTGCTCCTAATGACTTGTGCTTGTACACTGCTTGTCATCGCGAATCTTTTCACACACACTCTAGTGGCTATTAAAGTGCAGCAGCAGCAGCAGATCAGGTAGAGACAAGAGAAATTCCGTCACCCTTGGTTAGTAGGGGCATTCAGTAAAGCCAGACCGTGCAAGCGCAGGGTGGAAATTAGGCAGGACACCGGGGGCTAACACCCCTGTCCTTACAGTGCCAGATCTCTAATGACCATCTGAAGGACGGTATGTCCTGCAGCACCGTGTCCCCGGTCAGCATCTGGTGGCGTCGATGTTCTCGAGATCAGGTCTCGGAAGAGCACCGCCTACAAGCACCGCTCCCGGCACAAGGCGGCTCTGCCTTGTGGATCAGCCGTCCCTGTCCCACTCTTGCTGAGCTGCGGAGGTGGGGCGGGATCGGGCCGGGGGTGGTAATGCTGACGCTGGTGCCTTCACGCTGTTGTTCCAGACCTGCTCGCCCGGCCCATGGAGGACTCGGGGGACCTGAGCGTGAAGCTGCGCGTCATGCAGTTCCTGTCTCGCATCAGTGACGGAGAGAAGCTGGGTAAGGAAAGGGGTACGGCCTTCGGGTTGTCGGAAGGGTCCTGTCCATTTGTGGTGGCCTTTGCTTTGACCACAGCTGGTAACAACACGGTGTCTGTCTGCTCTGACTTGCATAATACTTTCTCAGGGGCTCCTTTCCTCCAAGTCCTCCAGGTGCTGCATGTTTCCCTAAGGGATTGTGTTATTTTACAGAGTGATCAGGCCAGCACCCTGAGGTCTTTATCTCAGTGGAGTGCCTGTAGCTGGTCTGTGACCCCTGAGGCGCCCTTTTATCAGTGGTGGTTAAAATGTTTCAACATCAGCTGCCCAGGGGCAGCTAGAAATGCCACACTGCCCAGCTTGGTGAAATCAGTCCAGTACGATCCATGATTAGAGATGAAAACTAAATGGAATTATCCAACCGTGAAGATGGCATCTGTTTAAACAGCACAAACGATGAAACCCACCGCATTCGTAAGTGCTCAATGGGTGCTACTGAAAGTAGTGTTCGTGCTGCTTTTGTTCTTGAGATATAGCATTTTTATTTCCTTGGGGGTATGACGTCACTCACGTCTCTCAAGAACAGCGCAGCAGAATCAAACCATTTTTTTCTGCTCGGTCTGTACCGGTTTGTGCCATTGGGGGAAAAAAACCTCTGAGGTGATTTTGTTCCTGAGACATAGCGAGTTCTGTTTTCGTGAAGCCGTGTGACTGGTGTCACCGTTATAGGAGTGACAAACGCTACTTCCAGCAGCACAAGTGGAGCACTAGCCCACGCGGTGGTTTTCATTGTTCGTGGTGCTTGTCGGGGGGCGGAGGGGGGGGCAACTTCACAGAGCTTGGAATTACTTCGGTCCTCTGAGAGCTGTGCATAGCTGTCCCCTGACCTCAGCACTGTCACCCCCCAGACTATGTGTTTGATGCGGACGACTCCACCACTCCTCTGGAGTCTGCTCTGCGCCTGTTGGGCTCCATCAGCGAGGAGGTACAGATTTCGGGGCAGGACCTGGAGCGGATCCAGAAGTCTGTCAGAGAAATGGTAAGACTGGATTAACGAATGTCTTGCCACTTCTGCAGAAACATAAACTCCTAGTGTTTAATAACAAAAAGGAAGTATTCTCCCCATGTGTTGTGTGTGCCTCTGAATTCGGTAGAAGTTGGGTCAGTGAGAAGTGGGTTTTGAAACGTTGTGTGTTTCTGATTGTAGGCAGTGATCATGTGCATTAAACAAAAGGAATACAAAAAGGCCAGTAGCATATTGATGAAGTACTTCCCCAAAGGCCTCAGCAGTAAGGTAAGTCACCTAGTCTGACTGGTCCAGTAATACTTCACACGCAGAGTTGTACAGTGATATGCTCTTTCTACTCATGATGGGCATTTAGTTTACTTAAAGTAATTCTAGATCTGTGCTATGAATGTTAACTGACTGACTCTATATATTAGGCCCTGCATGGGGAACCTGACCAAGATTGCAAGATTTAACAGATTGCCTGTTCCATTTCATGCCTGCTTTGCAAGTAGTAGCAATAAAACTTACGGAACATACAGGGTTAGTACGTAGTATGTCAAGATCCGCTTTCAGATTGGAGCTGGAAAGCAAGAGGGCTGCGGCATTTTGAACCCAAACTTCTGATCCCTGCCAGTTGCACTCGGGTTGTGGTGTTTCCCTAATGAGAGTGCACGTCTGTGTGTGCTCTTCAGAAGGCCCTCTTCCTGAGTCTCGTTCAGCAGAAGGTCAGTGTCCATTCAGCCCTTGACCTGGTGACGTACAACCAGTTCTGCAAGGAAATGTTCCAGTTTGCAGAGGATCTGTTGCCTGACTCCGAACCATTCTTGCACAAGGTGGGTAGAGAGAGGGTTTCGAAACATCAGATGAACCCGTCTATTCAAGAAACAGCCAGGATGGAAGGGTGTGTTTTGTCTGAAGTACTAGTCTGTTTTTAAATTGTAAACATGGAGAATATCAGAATAATTTCATTTGAATTTAATTTTATTAACTATGTAAAACATTTTTACATTAGTCATTTGTATTACAGGGGATTTTGTGCAAAATTGTTTGTTGACATTATTTATTGATGCTGTTATTGATATTACAGACTGCAGAAAAGATCATAGCAACCAGGCAGATGATGGAAGGAAGTGTTTTGAGCCAACAATCTGCAAGGAGAGAGAGTAATCCAGACAGGCCTCAGTCTCCAGCACCAGCACCAGCAGTATCAACTTTTACCAGGTACAGAGATGCATAGGAAATATGAAATTCATTATATCTCTGTGTGCTAGATAGTCATAAGTTTGGAAAGGGACTTCAACCCAGGCTCTAGTTAGGATCACCAGGAAAAGTGGGTGATAGTTTTGCACAGGTGCTTTAGTATCCAGCTAGATATCAGCGGATTTGAGTGAAAGCCAAACGTCGGACCACTTCCCAGACTAAATGTCCAGGTGGTGACCAGCAGCTCCTGTGGGCGTATGTTATATAGAATACATTGGAGGTCAGAAAGGAAGTATGTATAGAGAAAAGCAGAAGTTAAAGTGTGGGTTGCAAGATTTAGATCTGATCTTGAACACTAAAGGACCTTAACTGTATTTCACTTGTACTCACGCAGGTGTCAGGGCTGACTAGTCGTGATTTAAATATTTTAAATTATTTAATCTGTTCAGCCTGTAATACTGCTAGCGCCCCCTGTCTTTCACGCTATGAGAGTCATGTGCTGAACAAGTGAACGGATTGAGCAGTCCTCCCAAGACTCTGTGTCTTTTTTTAGGGACCCCCCCTGGACTGTGTTCAGCCGCTCTGTTCTGAAGGCTGCCTTCTGCTCCATGGCTGAGGACCTTCAGGTGGACGTGGAGTTTGAGCAGCTGGAAGAGACTGACCCGGAGCCTCTAATCGTGGACCACAACCCTGTTTCACCTACAAGTGCTGCCTGTCCAAGCAAGGGGCGTTCTAAGGGAGAGAGCCCCTGTCCTGTTCAACACTCTGCCAGTCCCAGTAAAGGATCCATTGTGGAAGAAACCCTCCAGTGTCCCAGAAACTCGGCCATCCCAGAGCCATGCCATCCCGTGCTGCCAGGCAACAGCACGACACGGGCAGCCCATTCCCCTCAGAACTCTGGAACAGGAAGAGGGAGCTCCTGTTCCCCGCGGAGCTCCGACAGCCCCAGGGAGGGGTCCCGAGCCGAATCGCCTGCCCTGACAGAGCTGGGCAAGGTCACGGTGTCCAAACTGGTTATGGAGCGGGACAGCTGCCCGACAGAGGAGGAGTGTGCGGGCGGTCGGCCGGATCCCACGAGTCCCCTCTCGAGCGGCAGCCTGCCTCATCGGAGGCCCCGGCGCAGACCTTCCAAGCCACAGAAAAGGCAAGGCCTGATTATTCCTGCCCGGACCCAGCAGAGTTCTCTGCCTCGGACCCTTCCCTCTGCCTTGCCTTTCGCTTCTCTTGTGGGATGAATCCGCTTTTTTGCGGACGGTTCTGGGTAATTTAAGGATAATGTCTGCTGAGGTTCTAGAAGGACCTCAGCACAGGACAGTTTAACACAAATTAGAAGGGGCTGATGGGGTTTTCCAAACATACTTAACTTCCGAACAAACGTTGTGCATAAACTCCTTGTCTGACATTAGACCCTGTAATATCTGAGTTGTGGAGCTGTATGTGATGTTTCTTTCTCTGGGTCTTGTGCACTGAAAGATGTCTGTTTGATGTGCCCTGTTCATTCTCTAGGTTCTCTCCCGAAAGCGACGAAGACTCATCTGATGTTTCTAGCATATCTTTGGAGACGTCCAGGCATCCTAATATTCGGCACAACGGCCCATCGACCAGAAAAAGGTGAGGCTCAGAATTAGTCTTGGTATTTCTGTTTCATGTGGCAGTGCAAGAGCTTGGTAAATTAGCCCCTTTATTTAGTAAAGACTGCAGAATGTCTTCTTACAGTTTAGAAAATTGCCTGTCCTTTCAAAGACTTAAAATGTCTGGTATTTTGCTTTTAAAGAACGGTATTTTTAAAAGTTGCGCATTAAACAACTTTTACTTTTTTTTTCTGCAGGTTTAGGATTTATGATGAGATGGAAGAGGAGAAAGTTGGCTGGTCTGATGAAGATTCATTATTCAGTCACAATCAAAAATATGGTAATATATGGTCATACTTAGGGATCACTTGTTTTACAGAGGAGGGTTACAATAAGCATACAAATAAATGTGTGCTGGACTTTGCTAGTGCTTTTTTTTTTGTTACTTGGGAAGTGGCATGCATACATTCAATGAATAAGCTGTTTTAACCTAACTTCTTGTCATTAACCTCTGAAGACTTACCCCTTCTGCCATTGGAGTTTCAGCCATGAATATGGTTTGGTGTGTAATGCTCTCCAGTGGGGGATTCATATGGAAAGTGGGGTGTTTTTCTTCAATTTCATGTTCATTGACTTTGTTTTTCTTGATTAGAAACCAGTGGAGGTGTTTCGGATGGGGAGAGTGGCATTGGTCACTGTACCAAGAAGGTAAGGGCTCTTCTTTCTCGTCATGGATCTGGAAGTCCACAGATGGGTTGTTTTATGGCCAGTGTGAGCTACTGACCTTGCAGAGATCGAGCCTAGAGGACTACAAGCAGGGCTTAAACATGCGGAAAATATGGAAAAACACATTGGTCCAATTTATCTACTTCAGTGAAAATAAGTGGTTTCAGTTTTTAATGCTTTCTTGCAGCTTTTACGAGCAAAAAAACAGTATTTGCACTGAAATATACATGTTGCAATTCGCATGTGTCTTCAATTGTCTACATTGATCGTTACAATTATCATAAAACAATTATCACGCCTTAAAGTGATAAACTTTAAAGTGCAAGATCTGTCTGCTTGTTACGCTCCAGGTTGTGTGAGTAACTGGATCTGTGTTCTTGGAACACACAGAAGAGCTGAAAGCGGGGCCTACAGGAAGTCCCCATCCACAAATGGACCACAAGCACGTGGGGCGGCTGGTCTGGCTGTTATTTCACCCCAACATATTTGTGTTGCAGAAGTGGACCTTGGAGGAGAGCGAGTGGATCAAGGCAGGGGTGCTGAAGTTCGGGGAGGGTAACTGGAAGAAGATCCAGCAGCACTTTCCCTTCAGAGGGCGGACAGCGGTCATGATCAAGGACCGGTGGCGGACCATGAAGAAGCTGAAGATGGTATGAGGCTGGACGGGGGTGAAGCCGTCGTCCCATTTCGTTCGGAGAGATCCGGACTCGCAGTGTCTCCACAGTGTTATTCTGGACAATTTTGTTTTTTAACCAGGAAGAAAATTCACAAAAAATGTGACTGTCTTTTTCTAGACAACACAACTGAATTTTGAGGTTGTAGTATTTGGACAGTTATGTCTCAGATTTTAAAAATCTAATATGTTCTGACTTTTTTTAATAGAAGGTGACGGTAACACCCTGAAACTTATTAAATGGTTTGCAAATAAGCTCTAGGATGTAGTCTGTGCCAGCTCATTTGTCCTCTTTTCCTCTCCCATGGTTATGCTTTTATTGGAAACGTCTGCACATTGCAATTTAATACATACTGTTTTCTTTTTAACCATTAAGATACACATTTTGCATTCTTCCCTTTCCCTGAGTTCTAGGGACAAGAATATTTCTTGAAGTCAAAGCATTAGTCTTTTTAAGCACTCGAGTGCAGGACAGTCAACATCCAAAAGGTGATGTTTGAAAGTATTTGACTTTTCAAGTCTGATAACTTTTCTATTTTGTAAGTTATCCATACGGTAATTTATCTTTTAACAAAATATTGCTTTAGAGGCAGCAGGCACAGAGCTATAATCTTTGTGAATAGTTATTTTAAGAATGTAAAAACTACAAATCAAACTGATTCTGTATAGTGTATATTTTTCCATCCATTGTAACTTTAAAAAAGATGTTGGATGACATACTGCTTTGAGAAACTTTTGAACACCTATAATGTAATATAAAAAGCTATTTTTGTTGTCCCTTTTTTGTAATATAATTGAGGTGATTTTTAAATTATATTTCTAGAATTAAAGATATCTCTGTGTTGTGTGAATCAGTGTTTCGGTGCAAAACGTAATTCTTTCACTCATGTACACTTGCACATATAAAGGTTATTGTAATGAGACTTTTATAACACTGGTTGTAATTGAATGGCCCTTTTTATTTTCTTCATAGCATGTAAATATTTTCATCTTGCTATAATTCTGTATCAAGACCGAAAAACACGTACAACAATGCTCAATGTGTTATCCATATTTTTCCTGCTGTCCCAGGCTGTGGAGGCTGTGTTAGTAATACTTAGTATCTCGATGAAGGCTAAGCCTGTATAAAGTTATCAGCAAGACCAGCAAAGTGTAAATACTCTGCAGAGGTAAGCACAGCTGGTGCTGGTCAGTCTAGTGGCTATCTAAAACCCGCCTCGCTTTCAAGATCACTTGTGTGGTGACGCAGGTTTTCCCACATCACACAGTGGCAGCAGGCTCTGCGCTCGAGGGTATTTTTCATGTTTTATGTCGAGAGGGGGCTGGAACGGGGGGGTTGAAAAAGTTAATCATTCCCTGGGTCTTCGTGCACTGTCGGCATTCAGCTGGCGGAGCGGTTGATGGCTGCTTCTCCCGAGACCATGCTGCACTGGGGGGCAGTGTGCTGCTGTGTGATCTTGCTGTTGGTGGGAGGCAGGGGTCAGAAGACGGAGCCCCTGGCCCAGCCTGGGGCTCAGCCCTTGTTTCGGGGTGCAGACCAGTATGATTTTGCCATCGTGGTGCCAGCCTCGGGCTTGGAGTGCGTCTGGCACTTTGCGCACCAGAGTGGAAGATTCTACTTCAGCTATGAGGTAAGAGCTCCTCTTAATCCTGTATCGGTTGTGAAAGTGCTCCAATACGCTTATATCCAAGTTCCAAGTGGAAAATGTAAATGCAATCTATAGGGTGTTATAGGTGGGAGGTGTTCTGATCCTTAATTCTCAAGTAGCCAATTGAACAATTATAAAATTAATTTTTAATTCAAACTTCACTGCACTAATAGCATTCTACTCTTTAATTTCAGTAGGATGCTGTTTTGCAACTATTGCAAGAACTGAGAATTGCAAATCATCAACGGGCAGGGATCTAGACTGCAGTACAGTGAACAGTGTAAAGCAGCTGTTAGGAATCGCATTTCAAACACTCTCTCCCATACGCCGCCAGTTCTTTGCAGAATTTACACTGCATGTTACCAGAATGGAATGTGTTGTTCTTCCCGTCTGCAAGCAGATTTTTAGCAGTCTGTGATATTCCACTGGGACTCATTTTACAAAGAAAGGGTGAATCAAGCATTTTCTGTGGATGAACATTTTAGTTCTTCCCCACACAATTACTGCACACCCATCTGAGAAAGTGAATACTAGAAGATGATAGGAGGAATATTTAGCTCGCACTAGAGCCTTGCCTACTGCTGCCATACCTCGAGAGATGTCCAGTCCACCCAGCTGTATCCCATCACAGTCGCAGGCTCTCTCACCCCCCTGACGCCACGGAGACCGGTACGCGCTCCGGCCCGGCAAGCCGGCGTGGCTTGCCTACGGAAACTGCCCAGTGCATGTTGGAGTCACACATGCGGCTGCACGTTTTCGCACTCAAGTCCTTCAGCACACGTGGAGTTTCTTATCCAATTGTCCTTGCAACACCAGAGATAAGGACAAAAAAGGCTTTGCTTGTGAGGGCAGGTCTTATCTCTCTGCGCTGTACCTGGGGTCTGATTTTCCGCCGCCTTCCATCAGCCCAATCAGCAGCGCTGTGCTGGGCTTAGGGCTCGGGGTCAGGAAAGGCGCGAACCCAGGGCCGTCACCGTCTGTGTTTGCGTGCAGGTCCAGTGGGTGACGGGCATCGCGCAGGACAGGCACATCTCGGCCACGGTTAACTCACCTCAAGGCTTGCTTGTGGGCACCTCGCAGGACGTCAGGGGTCAAATCAACTTCCATACCCAAGAAACCGGTACAGTCCGCCCTGATCTATACTCTTCTTTGTACCGGCTGGACATGTCATGGGCTATTGAAGGGGAAACATTCTGACAGCGTGCAGCAGTTGCAGTGCTTGGTTATCTTGCCTCTTGTGATTAGAGCAATGCAAGGCTCTAAGTGCTGCAGTCCTTACACACCCAATATACCAGAGCTCGTACTACGTAGGCGCACAGATCTCTCTTTCACTACCCAAACAATATGACAAGATATCAAGAGTTACGTACTTGGGAATGACCAGGAATCCACATGTAAGCAGTGTGTGATTATCGTATGTCCCTACGGTGGGGTAATGCTTATAAATAAACCACCCCCTGCTTTAGAGTTGTGACACTCATAACTGAATATTACATTTATACCATATCATATCAGTGGTATAAATGGATACAAATCTTAAGTCACGTAGGCTAAAAGATTCAAATTAATATCGTCACTAACTTTATTTTACTCCTGTTAAAAGTAAAAATGCAACAATTCCAAAAAAATAAGGGGCCGAACACACTCCTTTTATGGTAAAGTACAAATTTTAACCCTTAAAGAGGACATTTCCTCTTCGAGTTTAAACAGTGAAACATTACCATATACTCAGATTAGGTGAAACTTTATATGAATAATTGTACAGCTTTGAAGACGCCAAATTTCAAAAGAATTGACTGTCGTTTTTGGCTGCAAGAATCTGTCCTTATCTGTATGACTGGCTGAGATAAACCTCCTTCAGGAACAATGGCCGGACTTTAGCATCTTTAAGATATAAGGAGTCTGTTCAGAACTGAGACATCATGGGGGTGCAGGAGAAAAGACAATTCTGTCAACTAGACCGAGACCATATTCTTTTCAAGCACCAGGACTGTTCCCTCCTTCCATCTTCCAACTGCTTCTTCCAATTCAGGGGCGAGGGGGGCCGGAGCCCATCGCCACAAACACTTAGGATCTTATTCTTGTTCGATTCAGGTTTCTACCAGATCTGCCTGAGCAACTTCCATAACCGCTTTGGGAACATGCAGGTCTTCCTCAATTTTGGCGTTTACTATGACGGCTATGAGGAAATGCAGCAGCAGGAAGCCGAGGAGAGGAAGCACCTCAATGACACCCTGGCCGCCATCGAGGTTTGACAGCAACGTTCAGGCACATATATACAGACAGTACCATATGTGGATATTATAACGTAATTACCTGATGTATTATGTAATTATGGAATTGCACCTTGGTAAAAGCATGAAGGCCGAGACAGTAAAGCAGAAAATGTTTTAAAATCAGCTGTACATTTGGCTCCTGGGTGAATGTAGCAAAGAGAGCAAAAAAGAACAGGAAATTCTAGTGGCTCCATGAAGGTCTTATACAGGCGCCCAACACCATGTTAATGGCGCTGGGAATGACAGGCTTACACAAGCAATGGGGATGGTATGGAAACAGCCCAAGCCAGGAACTGGTAGTCACCAATACTTGTGAAACAAAGCGTTATTCAGATACAGCTGCCTGTTTTGTTAATGATCTTGTGCAGAGCTAAGATCATATAGAAGCCGTTTCCCTACAAACGACTCATGCGGTTCATGCTTTTATGCAATAAGTATCTCGCTAGATAGGTCGGGACTGCTTGTTCCAGTTACTTTGTTTGCTTAAAATAGCAGAACTTGCAGTATCCTGTTTTCTGAAGGTTATTCCTCCGGGCGATATCTCAGCTCACCACACTGTGTGGTTCAGGTGTTTCCAGGCCCTCGGGATGAAGACGCTGCTCTGATTTTTCAGGCAGGTGCCACTAAGGTGCAGGGCCAGGTCTTCCACATGTGGAGGTTCTACAACTTCGGCCGCATGCGGAGGGGGGCAGACTACTACCTGCTGCTCTCCAACTCCACCTACGTGACCTGGTGGTCAGCCGCACAGACTCTGGTCATCGTCACAGCCGGCTACCTGCAGCTCTTCTTCCTCAAGCGCCTGTTCCTCACCAAGAGCACGACCGACACCAACAAGCCACGCTGCTAACAGCCCGGCCCGGCCCATCCTCCAGCTGGCCCCTGAGGCTGAAACCCGGCTCAGCAGGACCGCCAGAACCGGACGGGGCTGTTCACAACCAGACGTACCGAACTGTCATCACCCGCCGCAGGCGGCTGTATCAACCCCACCCAATTATTCCTACAAAAATGTGTCTGTTTGTTGGAATAAAAAAATAAATAAAAAGTTGCACTCTGTTGTGTTTATTTCCAGGTTTCACATTTTAGGCCTTCAGTGTGAACTCCTTCCAGAAAGAAAGCGTAAAGGGCTAAACTGGGTCCTGGAAACTGGAGCTTCATACATCAGCACTGCGGCAGGACCCACCTGTCAGGTCCCTGGAACCACACCAATCAGTCCGCGTGTCATCGGTTTTTTAAAAGACACTAAGATTTACAAAAATGATTTATTCACGTTCCCACACGACTTGCAGGATTTTGTCAATCGCCGGAAGCCGTCTCCATTACGTCGGCCGTGGGCTTTCACCAGCACTCGGGAGGAAGGCAGTCCGACTCCGAGGCCGTGGTACTACTGTCCCTCTGGTGACCGAGCCTCACCCTTTCCAGCCCCCGGGTGTCGGCTGGAGGTCGCCAGTCATTTATGTGAGTGTGTCCTCCTTCCTCACGTACTCTCCGATGTCGGCCTGGTGGAACACGACGATGGCCATGGGGTCCATCCGCCGACACTCCTGCGTGGATTTCGCTGCCACGCCGAACCCCTGCCGAGAGAGGCTGGCGTGAGGGCCGGACGGGCACCGTGCCGGGTGTACGTGCCCAACCCAGCAGGGTTTTACTGTTTGTAAAGAGCACTGGGATAAAGAAAAACCCTTCTACCCCTCTTTCAGAAACACGTCTGCTTCTTCTCTAGCTCTGAGGTGGTGGTTCAGATATTTCTACTATTTAATCTGTTGTCAGGTCATTGCTTCCCTCCACAAATGTCTTTATTGTATGATCTTTCCAATTGGTTCTAGGCAAGATCCATTACCATCTCAGTGCACACTATTTCAGATGCACTTCACCATAGTAGTAACAAAAAGTGACAAAAGGATTTTAATGCCTCTTCTCATTCGGTATATATCCATTCATCTCTTTTCTAACTGTTCTATCCAGGATAGCCTGAGCCTATCCCTGCAAGCAACAGGCACAAGGCAGGATACACTCTGGATGGGACGCCAGCTCATCCAGTACATTTCCATTACAGGATTATTATTATTGTATATTATAAAAGAATATTCAGGTTTTCAAAGAGAGCATTAAAAAGTAGGTATGTAAACTAGAATGTCTTCTGCCTAATAGTTAAAATCACTGCTCACCAAAGGCACATCTGCCATGGAGTACACCACTACCCCCTGGTACCGCTCCGTGTTCTCCGTGATCCGGCCCAGACCCGACTTCAGAATGTGGTTCCCATACAGGAAGGACTGCTCGGCTCCAGGCTTCACCCACACCTTGAACTGAACAGACAGGGAATCCACATCAGAGACCTTCCCGCACAGGAAGGGACCCACTTCATTCACCAGGGAATCACAGTCTCCCCCTTGGCAGTTGCACAGCAGATCCAATGGAGAAGAGTAGATCACAGACAACTGAACCTGCTTCCTTGTGTTCATCCCAGAGTCCGCTGGACAGAGGTTTGGAAACACTTGTTTCATGCTCCCTCAACTGCTTGGCAGCAGATTAGGAGCTTCTGAGTCATTTCAAATCTAGAAAGTGTGTCTGTGACAAGCTTGAGTCTCACGGCAGCGGGAGTTTTGGATAAATCTCTTTACTTTTACATGACCTCACCTTGGCATAGGGAGCGAGGAAGTCCAGAGCCGTTATGTGCAGACGGAACTTCTGCGTTTTGGTGAACTTTCCAAAACACGTTCCCAGGGACACCAACTTATCCCGGGAGATATTAGTGGCCAGTTTAAGGATTTTTTCACTATAAAAAAGAACAATAAATCAGATCCAGGACACAGTCAAAAACGGCACTTTCCTTATGTTATTATACTACGTAGATAGACTATACAGGTCACATTCTTGTAATTATCTAACGCAATTAGACGATTGAGAACGGAGTGGCTTGACAAATGAAGAGGCGACCTCTTGTGGGCAGAGACAACTATGAGTCTTACCGACAGATCACACAACACCACAATGTACAAAATCGCATATGTACAAAACACAGGAAAGTAACCTTAATGCCTTGCAGTAATCTTATTGTCTTACCTTACGTAATAAACACGGTCGTTTTGCAGTCTGAAGCAGTATATTCCATCTGGGCGATCCACCAGAAGCTTAATGTTCTCTCCAATACTGAAGGACGAAAAACCATTAATTGTAATGCCACACACATAAAGATAGGTCGTACTTTTGTCTTACCATACTGTAGTATTACCTAAATAAATTCTAACCACCCTTAACAGCAAATTATCAACTACTTTTCTCGGCAACATATTAGCTGAATGAAAACGAAAATTCTAAAGACCTTAAATGTAATTCTTATTTTTGTAAGTCCAACTTACTATTTGGAAAGTTTCTCAAACAAAACCTTCGTTTCGTCGTCTGTCAGTGGTCTCATTTTGTAATGCAACCGTTAATTTATTTATTTTTTCCCTCAAGAACCCCACACTCGCGACTCAACACACAACGTGGGTAAACTCAACCGGAAACAGGAAGCGGCGACTCAGCGAGGGGAGCACGAGATCTGTGGTTGTCAGGGTGATCGGCGAGGGCGGGCCAGTTGTCACAGCGCCCCCTACAGCAACACCGCCGAGCCACCGCTGGCTTAGCAACAGGCGACCGTCTTTTTCTCTGGTGTTAAACGATCTTTTTCTTTATTATGTAAACATGTGTTTTTTAACCTAACGGCTTCTTTTTGGATGACCACAACACCCCGATTCTGCTGTTTATTCTTTTGTTTTTTTTTTTAAATCCCGAATATTTTATTCAACTTTCATTTACGCAAAGCTGGGGGAGATGACGGCTGAAGTCGACCTCACCAAGATGGCCGCCGTGGACGTGGAAGACGAGAGCATCCTGGCTGCGATTTTTAAAGACAGCTTCCCCGACAACTGGCGAGAGAACCCGGACTTTGCGGCTTACTTGTCCGAGCTGAGCTCGTTTGGGGTGGACAAGCTGACCCGGGAGCCGGAGAGGCTGGCGGAGGAGCGGGCTCAGATCCTGCAGCAGACCCGGGAGCTCGCCTTCTGCAACTACAAGACCTTCATCCGCACGGCCGACTGCACCCAGGAGATCTACCGCGACTTCGGGCGGGTGGAGAGCAGCGTGTCGCGGCTCCTGGACAAGTTACCCGGGTTTGGGGAGAAATGCAGGTTGGTGCCAGCGGGTGGACATGAACATGCCTGTTTTAGATCTCTTCCAAACAGCAGCAGCAGCAGCAGCACTGGAAGAGCTGGTAAACTGTCCAGTCGACCAGGACAGCCCAGTCCTCTTCTAGAGCGGCGCTTCACTGAGACTGTGGCTGTGTTTTTCTGTCCAGGTCCAAATTAGTTGCCAACCATCGGTCTCTTGCATAAGTCTTGTTTACTGTAGAAAACACCACTGGTACATTTCAAAATCAGTGCCTAATGTGCACTTTTATAATCTGATAAAGAACTTGGGTCAAATGTCAAGATGGGGGTGCAAAGGCAGAGTGACAGGAAGTGTGTGTGACGGCTCACCCCTGCGCCCTGCGCAGTGTGTGTGTGTGTGACTGCTCACCCCTGCGCTGTGTGTCTGACACATGATTGCGTCCTGATGGGGGTGCTCTCTGTCCCAGGGCCTTCATGACGGAGGCGGAGGACATTGGGGCCAGCCGCCGGATGAACAGCCTGACGCTGAACCGCCACACGGAAATCCTGGAGATCCTAGAGATCCCACAGCTCATGGACACCTGCGTCCGCAACGGCTACTACGAGGAGGCTCTGGAGCTGGCCGCCTACGTCAGGCGGCTGGAGAAGAAGCACTGCTGTCTCCCCGTTGTCCAGGTACAGGGGGGCATGAGTCCAGCCTGGAGTGCTGTTCCTTTCTCCCCAGCTCTGGACTGGCTGTTTGAGCTCAGCGCGGGCTCCAGTGACCGGCTGCAGGGTGCCTTCTAGCTCGTGATGCTTCAGGATCACGCTTGGGCATCCTGGATCGCCCAGAAGGGATCTGCTGCTTCACTTTGTTTAATTAAGGCAAAACACTTCCACAGGCTTTTGCAAAATTCAGAAATTCCTCAGTGACCATTGTCATTATCTCCTCCTGCAGGGCATTGTGCATGAGGTGCGTCAGTCTGCTCAGCTCATGCTGAACCAGCTGCTGCAACAGCTGCGCAGCAACGCCCAGCTGCCCGTCTGCCTGCGCGTGATTGGCTACCTGCGGCGCATGGACGTCTTTACGGAGGCGGAGCTGCGGGTGAAGTTCCTGCAGACACGGGGGAGCTGGCTGGGCTCCATCCTGAGTGCCATCCCGGACGGCGACCCTTACTTCCACATCACCAAGACCATCGAGGCGTGCCGCGTGCACCTCTTTGACATCATCACCCAGTACCGCGCCATCTTCTCCGACGAGGACCCGCTGCTGGCCCCGGGGGGCCAGGCGGTGAATGAGGGTGCCATCTTCCACGGCTGGGTGGTGCAGAAGGTCTCGGAGTTCCTGGAAACCCTGGAGCGGGACCTGCAGCGTGGGGTGGGCAGCCGTCTGGACTCCTTACTGGGGCAGTGCATGTACTTCGGGCTGTCCTTCAGCAGGGTGGGGGCCGATTTCCGCGGCCAGCTGGCTCCCATGTTCCAGAGGGTCGCCATGGGCGCTTTCCGCCATGCGGTGCAGGATGCGGTGGTGCAGTTCCAGGAGGACATGAATTTGTACACCCTGATCTCGGTACCAGTCATGCTGGGCAGCACCATCCCCGCCGCGCCGCCCGGCACCCAGCCTGGCACCCTCCAGCCCCCCATGATCCTCCTGGACTTCCCGCCGCTGGCGTGCTTTCTCAACAATGTCTTGATGGCCTTCAACGACCTGCGGCTCTGCTGCCCCGTGGCCCTGGCGCAGGACGTGACCAGCTGCTTGGAGGAGGCTCTCCTCAAGGTACTGGGCCTCTCCCTTCTCTTGGCTGCTTGGTGTAGGACCTCGGCCCCTCATTCTCAAGCCCTTCGGTGCATTCAAACATTCAGACAGTCCCTGGCCAGTGGAAATGACCAGACTGGCAGTCAGTGCTTCAAGCTTCTGCCTTGTCCCACCAAGAATGCTGAGGTCCATGTTTGCTGGTGGCCGCAAACATCAGGCAGGAATCAGTATTAAGCCTGCCTAGTTTTGTAATGTTAGGACATCCAACCATGTCTGTCTAACCTCTTTATCCAGTACAGGGCTGTGGGGGAGCCTAGCCTATCCTTTGAAGTAAGGGGTGTGAGGTGGGTTGCACACTGGATAGGCCAGCAGTCCACCAGAGGGTAGACGCACAGACACAAACACGCACACAAGCCAGGGCTGGTTAAGCCCAGGAAAAAGTGAAGCTACCAGTATGTCTTTGGACTGTGGGAGGAAAGCTGTGCCCACAGTGACCGTGCTCCCCTGCCCGCAGGTGACCAAGCTGATCCTGGTGTTCCAGCGGGCCGAGGAGGCGGCCTTCAGCGACCGGGAGAGGGAGCTGTTCACACAGTTTTGCTGTGCCTTCGCCGAAGACATGGTGCCTTTCCTGAATCGCTGCCTGCAAGTCCTCTTCCCTCCTGCGCAGGTGGCTCTCATACTCGGTATGTCCACAGCGTTGCGGGCTCTCTGAAGGAGATTCTAGCTGGCCGTGGGAGACCAGCTGTTTTCTGTAACTACTGTGTCTACGTATGTAAACCTCTGTGTTACATTATGAAGGTTTATGATTCTGACTAGAGCTATAAACACTTTTAAAATGTTACAATTCTAATATCAGATTCAAATATTTTTACAAAAGTTAGATTTTTCATTACAGTTCTTATTTTTTTTGTAGTATAGATTTATTTTAAGTAGGTGTGGAATGTGTGAGTCTCTGCATTTGAATAACAGATCTAGATTTAGACTACAGTTTCGCCGAAGTGCCCAGCTCATTGTTGTGCTGTATGTGTGTATCTAGGGATCCAGCCCACACAAGTCCACAAGCACGGCTCCCTGGGCTGCATTAATGTGGGGGAGATTCTGGAGCCGCTGGCCTTCATCCTGCCCAAGAAGGAGGTGCTGCCCCCAGCAGGGGAGCTCGGCAGCGATCTGGGGAGCGCGGGAGACGTGCCGGCCGGGGGGGGCTCCAGTCCCACGCAGGAGCCCCCCCACCCCCCTCTGTCCAGGCTGGAGGATGCAGCGACGCCAGTGGTGCAGTCAACACCGGAGGAGGCTGGGCCGTAGCAACAACAGGAAGGCACGTGCTTCTCTGTTTCCACAGCACCTCAACTGGGCTTGTTCCTTCTTGATGTGTCAGTTTTTTCATCCTGGCCCATGCTCTTTGACCAGTACCTCATCTGTTTTTGAAGAAACCTGTTTGTTGTTCATAAAACGTGCTTGCATGTTCTCCCAGTGACTGAGAGAATCTTCACAAGGAGCTCTGGTTTTCTCCCAGATAACAAAGACGCACTACCTGGCTATTCTAAATTGTCCCTTGTAGCTGGCAGTCTCCACATGGATGTATAAAAGAACAGTTTCTGTGAATGTACATTATTGCAGTTTTGGAACACTGGTTCACACATGAGAAAGGAGCCCAATATATAGGGAGTTACAATTTGTGCGCAGTTTTCATAACAGTAAGATTTTAGACTTCAGGAAAGAAGTTTGAATGGCTGGTTACTTCTCTTGTATCTGCCCTGGATTTGGGATCATTCTTGTGCCAAGGCCTTCATGACCTTCCTGCCAGCAGTCGGGCTCCTCTGACAAGCCCACCCATGCAGCCATCCCTTTCCTAACAAGGTCTGCAGGGACGGACCGGTGGGCTAGTGCCGACCGGAGGTGTGGCACGTCCCTGTCTTAAGCCCCAGAAGTCAATGACGTGCTGAAAGAGGACTCTGATTAATCCCTGCCCTACTTAGGGAGATGAAACTGCACACGTACATCTCATGATTACGGCTTCGGCTCAAAAGGAAGAGGTCTTTACGCTTCTTATGGTCCCTGGCAACAGCAGCGACTTCATTTGGATGAGAAACTACACTTGGTTGAAAGAGGAGTTTAATGATTAATTATCCATCCTTCCACCTTGTTTTATCCAGTTTAGGGTCGCGGGGGTAACCGAAGACTGCTGGGGCTGGCAGGCCCATCACAGGGCAGGCATGGACACACCAGGACCTATATACCCAGAAACCAGTTAACCTACCAGTATGTCTTTGGACTGTGAGAGAAAACCAGAGCTTCTGGAGGAACTGCGATAAGTTATGTTCATCTTAATTTTTCTTCGTGGCCCTGAAGTAGATGAGTAGTCTTTCAGTGGTGAGGGACAATCATGGTGAAGGGTGTAGACTCAAACAGATAACCTCTGCCATGTCTAGTTCAGAAATTTCCTTGGTAGCTGAGCAGCTGCTCTTTATGTTGTTTTCTCTGTTCTGAGGTGCCTGCGACATTGACTTCTAACTTTCCTGTCTTTTGCATTTTTAATTTACGGGAAATCACGCCCTTTGAAGCTGAAAAAAATACTTTTCAAACCCATGTTTGCCTTCTGACGCCTTAGATGCTGGTTTTCGACTTTGAGAAGTGGTGGGGTTTCACAATGTGGGGGGCATAATTTGTGTAAGGAAATACAAGGGACATCTGGGCTGTAATATAAAGAATAAATTTATTTATGAGTACATTGCTGGCAGTAGTGGTCTTACTCAGATACTGTTGAGCTATTTGTACCATCAGTATTGGACAGTGAATTCAAATCCCTGCTGATTATACCAACACTATACAAAACATGCAAATTCTTAAATATTGTAATAGTTAAACAAAATGCATTACTTTAAGATAAAAGAGCAGAGTGTGAAGTCTAATATTACTCAACAATTTATTTTTAAAACTATTTGAAAGGAGACCTGAAAAAGTCTACTGTCTTCTAACAGCCAATTGAAGTCCTGGATGGAGCATCATTTCAGGAGCAGCATCAAAAGAGAGGCACCAGCTTGGGTTGTTACAAAGCAGATCTGAACTCGTCACAGAACTCTGATTTTACATTCCTACATTTTTTTTTTAAATAGACTTATGAAATCATACCAGCCTAACACGTGCTGTCACTCGTTCACTCATGCCAGGCAGACACGAATGAATCAGCCACTGTCACATGGGTCACTCTTCAGAAAGGTCATTAATGGAGCCCGACTAGAAGAGAGACCCAGGAGGAAGGAGCTGAGGGTAGGAAATACTCTGACCCCTGACCCCTGACCCCTTGCCAGCCACGAATCCTCATCAGATACGCGTGCAGCGGCGCTCTCCGTGATCGGTGCCGGCCAAGCGCCGGCTTCATCTCCTCTTGACAAGTTTCTTCCTGGCTGCGTTGGGGTTGGTGCGCCGCCTGCCGCCGCCGGCCTGCTCGTCCCGCAGGTGCAGCCCCGCCGCGCGGCTGTAGATGTCGTTCTCGGCGAAGGGGGAGGCGCCCGCCACGTAGTCTGGGTCGAAGACGTCGGTCTTCTGCCGGGCCTTGCGCGACAGCCGCTGCTGGGGGAAGCGCTGGTCCTCCACCAGGTGGGGGTTGTTGCCGTGTTTGCCCCCTTGTGGCAGGGGCAGGGAGTACTGCAGGGGGTGGGGAGAGGAGAGCAGTCAGACATCTGCCATAGCTCTCCCGTTCAGCACAGGGTGAGCATGTGCTTCCTCCTGGTTGAGCACATCCTAAAATTCATGGGGCCTGAAGAATATCCCCCAGCAAAAGCTGTTTCATTATGTGGCTGCCTGGTCACCCTCCCAAGTGCCAGGCTCAGATTTTCACACTGGCAACTTGTTAATGGTGTCAAATTGATGACTGTCCATTTAGATATCATCCTTCTCCCCTAATCTTGCAGCATGTTGGGATATTACCTACTTTTCTAGTTTCCAGTGTGACCTGTGTGCCACAGCAGAGTACACAGCATTTTCATTAGGCTTTAATTAAACAGATTAAACAGTACTTAAGTCTTTGGTAAACTACAATTATTTAACTCTTCTCTGAAGTGCTTTAAACAGAATTAGTCTCTCTCCCGTGAGAGGATAGCTTTGTCGAAGTGGTTTTCTATCCATTACCCCCCTCTCACCTTCAGCCCCCTGGGGTTCAGCACTTTGGGGTTCTTGGACAGGTGCATCTGTAGGGTGCCATCTTCGTTGACCGTTACTGCCACTTTCTTCAAGGTCTTATTCCCGCAGTGTGGACAGAACACTTTGGTCATGTTCGTCGTGCTCCTAGAAGAGCAAATACAAAACGCATTTCTCCCGGCAGCTGTTCAGAAAACCCCAGTGCTGCGAGTTTCAACCAGCCTCTGCTGGGACTTTACTGCTACTTGCACAAGGACAATGTTCTTAATCAAAGGAATAGGGGTTATTGCTGTGTCACATACTGCATCATGAACTGCTATTTTCTGCAATATTTTCATTTTTTCCCCATTTTTTTAAATTTTCGGTTTTGTTTTTCAGGTTATTGCCCGGCCCCCTTTTGGTTTTGTTGTTCCGCCGGGGTTCGTTTTTTTTTTTGTTTGCTTTTTTCCCTTTTTTTTCGTTGTTGTTGTTGCCCCGTTCTTGTTTTAAATTTTTTGTTTTTGCCGGGGTTGGTTTAAACGGGATTAAACTTAAATTTTGTTATTGGCCCCCAGGACCCTTTCGTTTTTTGGACGTGGGGCTTGCCTTGTTTTCAAGCGTATACCCTGGTATCTTTCCATAAACAGCCGGATTAAATCCTTGGGATGCTTATCTAGTGTAGCTTGTTCGGTTGCTATTAGCTGAGCCAAGTGGTCTCCTCTTGTTTGTAACCCTTCTTATGTTCCTATAAGGTCTTTTCACCCCCAATTCAGACCGTCACCAACAACAAACCATTGGATGATTACCTTAAATCGGTCACTTCTGTCGCATTGTTCATTCTCTATGCATTGGAACAGGTGAGGGTTTATTCCTTTCTTCACGTGAAGAAGCTCCATAGCTGAAACGTCGTGTCTCTTTTCCTATGAGCAGGAATAAACCCTTACCTGCGCCTGTGCAGCCCACGCATGCTGACGCAGCTCCCTACTTTCTCTATGCAACGCCTACTAAGTAACAAATAAACATGTTTTAGTTCTACAGACTTAAGGGAGGGTGAGGGATTCACTCTTGACCAGAGTTATCATAATTAAAAAAAAAAAATAACAGAAAAGTTGAAACTGCAGCAGGTCTGGTCTTGAAATGATTTTAAGTGACACCTGTTACCAGCGAACACTTTTAAGGAAGAATTTTCATCTCCAATATTGACTTAAGGAAAAAAGTATAACACGCTAAATCTGGCTAGCCAGAAACAGTTCAATTACAGCTCTCTGACCTCTTCCATATAAAACAAACACCTGGAGATTACTGTCCTTCATTTGCAGTACAATGGAAGCATGTTTGTGATCCCTCAACATTCTCCTTAAACACACTCACTTAAAGCAGGCGTGGCAGCGCAATGTGTAGCTCCTGGTTTGCCTGATGACCATTCCATTGACCGACAGCACGTGCAGCCCAATCTGAATGAGAACGTTCTGTTTCAAAAGAACAAAGTAAAGAGGTGTTCAGGGAAAAGGCAGTTTCACACAATTCCTGGGGTTTCTTCAATACGCAAGTGAAACATGGCTCATCTTTTCCAACACAGTCTTTGCGCTCCGGGGGGACCGAGCTCTCGACGGCGGTTTCATTGCAGAGTCACCTGCATGGCGAAGTCTGTGGTCAGGCAGCCCACTCTCACTTCGCCTGGAGCCTGCTGGACTCCCATGTTGAGCTGGACCTGTCTGATGTTCCTGGGAGTGATCCAGCCTCCGTCTCCACTTTCCTCTTCCTCTGAGCCACTCTCCGCCTCCTCCTCCTCTCCCACGCTCCCCGCTGTCCGGGACTCCCCGCAGCACTGATCCGCGGAGACGGGCGCAGGCTGCAGCTCATCGACAGTCGCTCCCGCTGAACTGCACGCGGCTGAGACCGTCTCGGCGTTCTGCAGAAAGACAACAGGCCTCCTTACAGCCTGGACAGCCGCAGCAGGGAAGTTCCAGACCTCGTTCAGCCTCGAGGCAGTAACGCATAACCCAGCAGACGGATTCCAAAGCTGTTCTATAATTTACTCACGGAGTGGCTGAAGCAAGCTGATCAGCCATGTAGCTGGACTCCTTCAAGGAACGGCTGGAGAGTCTTGGAACAATACCAGCATGCTGGACCCAATGGCCTCCGCTTAGCTGTAACCTCTCTTACATCTTATGTTGCCAAATACAAGGTAGCCAGGGGAGCTGGAGCCTATCCCAGGAAGCTATGGTTGCAAGGCAGGATACACCCTGGACAGAACACCAGTCCATCGCAGGGCACACACAGACACACACACACCCAGGACAGAACACCAGTCCATCGCAGGGCACACACAGACACAGACAGCACCCCAGGAACCGAACACAGGGCCCCAGTGCTGAGAGGCAGCAACGCTGACCACTGCGCCACTGTGTCCCCTGCCTTAAGAAAACATTAAAATGGTAGAGAAGGCATTAGAAGTAACATTTGGACTGCTGCTGGAAATGGAGAACAGGCATCCACTCCAGCTCTGTCCAGTCCTCACCAGTAACTCCAGCAAGTCAGCTTCAATGCTGGGCAAGGGGCTTCTCCAGAACTGGAAGGAGTTGAACTGGGCATCGTCTGGGGAGCTGGAATTCTGTGACTTGGAGCAATTTGGTCTGACTCCTACATTCTTGTCTGAAGTACCTTTCTGCAACAACAACAAAAGAAAAAAACACTTAAATCAAATATTGTCCACTATCTAACCTACAAACAGGACTTCCCCATCCTGTTCCTGGATATCCTTGTATTTGCTGGATTTCCTTCTAGCGGAGCTTAATTACTTAATTGAAGCCTTAATTGAACTAATGACTTGCTTGATTGGAAATGTTGCAATATTTTCCTACTCAAAATTCTGACACAAGCTTCTTACAAAATGTGACAGTTAAAAGGCAATCTCCATTTTTTTAAAAGCTGATGTTAAAAATAAATCACATTAATCCAGTTATTAAGTCAATTAAGGTTCAATTGTGTAACTCAGAACTCAAGGTTTATTTTAGACCTCCAGGACTAGAATTGGAATCTCTTGGCCTGCTGTGTGGAAGTGTCCATCAGGAAACTGGAGCAAAATAAAAGTTGGTATCCTTTGGTGTTAACTAATTTTTGTGACACTTTTATCAGCAGCAATATTGATTTGTACAAGTGAGAGTTTTATTGGAGCAGTCTGAGTGAACTGCAGTCTGCAGTCCCACAATCTTCCAGCTATAAATCCAGGTCTCTAACCACTGTTTTGCACTGTTACTACTCTTTCCAGGATTGACGATCAAGCTAAATGCAGCTACTAAAAACAAACCTGCAAAAATGAATTTGCTTACACAGACTGTTACCTCACCTCATCATATCTCGGGACACTTAAACTGGAAAACAAAATTAACCCTACAGCTTGAAGGAGAACACTGAGCAGCTGGCCATGTCTGTGTTAAATATGTTTGTGAAGACCAGTCTCTATAGGTCCCAGCAGGATTCTGTTCACAGTGTCCTCGGCCTCTGACCTTAGACGGGATGTGGAATCCAGCAATGTTGACGGGTGCCTCTGGGTGTCTCCAGGTGCTGCACACTTCGACCTGAAACACAAAAATATAGGTTTTACTGTTTTATTCATTGGTTGCCAATAGGAAAGTTGTCAAACTGCAGTCTGCGCAGGACCCATCTGCTTTGGGTCTTGAAATCAGATGAACACATCAAACCCAATTTAGCATCTGCGCTCTCACTGCCTGTTAAATTTAGAGTAAAATTCAAAATTCTGCTCGCTTTTAGCCACTGACATTTGGTTCTGGTCATTTTATAGTTCTTATTCCACTCCTGACTCTGAATCAAGTGTTCGCGTGACGGGATTCTGTTCCCACTGGTCCCAGGCCTTTACTCGCCGACAGAGCCGCCTGTGTGCGTGTGGAAATCCACCTCCTCCTCACCCGGCTGAGCGCTTCACTGCAGGCACTACTCCCAGCACCAGTCTGTGGCTGGTGTGGGAATTTCACCCACGAGCCCCCGGGCACAGCTGCCGAACCCGGGCTGTAGAGCACTCCGCCTAGCCACGTAGGAGCTGTGCCCGCACTGCTGTGTGTCTGCCATGCACATTTTTATCTTTCTCTGCACGTTGCACAGCACTCCGGGACGCATTGACACACGAGGTGCTCTTGCGAATGAAAATTATGATAAAACTATTATAAAACCGAACAGCCGCCGTTTTCTTCTTACTTTCACTTCTGGTTCTGTCTTGAGGTGGGCGACGCCAAGGACCTCCGACTCCAGCTGGTAGGTCAGAGCCAGCACTTTAATGTCCGTCGCCGAGAGGCTTGGGTAGTCTCCGGTCTTTTTGGAGAATTCAGTCACTGGAATCAAAAAAGCAAGAACCAGGTGAAAGAATCCCAGTTGGAGAAATTTATTCGTGCACTGCCTGTGGAAGCCCAAAGGGGCATTTATTATAGCTAAGATTCTTTTGGACAATGCTGATACATCACAGTTCTGATCTACTGTACATCCTCCCAATGAGAGAAGCAAAAAGTGTAACAGTCTCCAAACATTTTAACTATTTTTATGGCATTGGCTATAACTGGTATTTTAAGCAACTGGCCCAAGCCAAAACAGGTCCAATTTTGCTAATCCATACATGAACTTTGGCATAGATAACACTCTGACATGCAGAAGGTAGAGTTATTGCCAATAACACCAAAAGGCCCAAACTTTAACTCACCAATTTGAATGAATTCGGGAAGGGGCTCCTTAAACTGCAGTTGATACGGCAGGAACGCCAAACTGTTCCTGGTCTGTTTGTCCCGGATTTCATTCACCACCTCTTTCACTGTGTAGATATTCTTCCCAAAGTCCTAAAATAGGGGCGACAAGACTTGTCACATGGGTAAAGAGTATATTTATAGTACAATCTGGATATCAGACGAATCTTAATTTTGATTAGGAACAAGTAATAGGTTTATTCCATGCTGAAAATAGAAGAAAGAAAATAAACCTATTACGTGTTTCTCTGCAGCCTACGCATGCTGACGCAGCTACCCACCTTAAATTTGATTAGTTCGACATCTAAATCTCAACACCTTAGGAACAACTGAAGATCCTTAAGAGAAAATGGCTACTAGTAAAAACCATTCGAATTTTAATATCTACAATACGGAAGAATAAAAACTACCACGCTATACCCCTGAGCCACTTCTCCCAGTGCGATAGCAGCGCACCAACGCACTCACACCTCCGCTGTCCCAGCACGGCACACCCCTGATTGTGAGCTCTTCGGTTCTGTCTGTACACGGCTAATACAGAAACAACATCCCTGTGCGCTCCGCTCACTCTCTTTCTCACCTGCAACGGCGCCTTCTTCAAAAAAGCTCCAGCATCCGCGACAACATGCTCCACCACGGCAGAAGACATCTTGAAACAGTTGCACAACCAATCAGAAAATTGCTAAATTTGCGCAGGTCAGAGGATTTCACAGAATAACAAAGGAGTTTGCCCCCTGTCGGTGGTGTTTTGCACTACCGAAAATGATCACGAATCTGTTTACTTGGGTCAATTTTAATCAAATAAAATACTCTTTGCATTTTTTATTATAATCTACCAATAAAGAGGTATCGAAATACTGTTTGCTATGATGCGATATTATTGGTAATGATGCTATACGAATATGATTTACCTATCAATAATAGCACCCTGTGTTCATGGTATTTCTTATAACCTACCTATAGCTGCCGACCTGTGTCAATTCTCATACATTTCTAGGTTCATCAGTAATACATATTTGTATACATTATCTGTAGTGAACGAGGAGGATGGACAAAGTGTAATTACACTTTTGGGGGTGGAAAGGAACTTCACCCACCATTGAGTAAAACACAGCACATAGCTGATTTCAGGAGGATACCGAGGAAGAGTTATTTTAAGAACAGCGCCATGTGATCAGTATTGACCCGGAAGTCAAGACCTCATGTTCATCGAGCGCAGCGAACTCTGGGATATAGGAACGCCCTATGGAGCGCCGGCAGCCGTGTGACGTCACGGTGTTGTTGTTATGGTGCTGAAAGGGAGGCAAGATGGCGGCGCGCTGGAGCAGCGAGAATGTGGTGGTGGAGTTCAGAGATTCACAGGTACTGTGGGTCTCGATCACGGGAAAGCGATAGATCTGCTGGTCGTGGTCGTGGAGATTTAGACTCCCGACACAACTGACCACGTCGAGAGCGTTCGCAGGAATGAGGGTTTTCTGTAACTTAGGGTTGTCACTCAGTCAGTTTGCAGTCAGTGCAGAAACCAGGAGTTTTGCTTTATCTCTTTAGTCAGCAGTTTAACACTGCGAAGAAGGGATACATCAATGTTTTTAAAGTTTAACCTTTTCCTCAGTGTTAGGAGGCGTTCACTTTTTAGGGGACATAAAATCGAATGGATTCCGGGCTTCGATAGTCGGAATTGAGGATCCTTGCTCTGAAGTAAACATGATATAATGTTTTATTTGTAGAACCCTTCACTGAGTGACAGTTGGAAATTGTGGCTTATTGTTGGCTAATTGTGGTTATTTTGGTGTGTTTTATTCCAACCCCCCTCCCCCCGCTGAGTCAGCAGATCAGATGTGAGATCTGCCTCTGTTCTCCAGTTTGACCCCCAGCTCGATGCTGGCTAACTGACCTGTCTAATTTTCGCCTCCCACATCCCTGCTCCGTTAAGGTTGCATTAGGAAATGTATTCTTGTCTTGCGTATAAAGTACTGTAGTACAAGTATGTTTAATAGCAATTATCTACAGTGTGGTGAAGAACTGTAAAGTTATGGTTGCGTTACCATTGCAGTCAACGCTGAATGTTAATTTTGTGATTTTGAAGAGTATCCGAGAAGTAGGTGTCTATTAAAATAGCGTTCCAATTTCTCAGATTAAACCTTAACGATTCAGTTTATTCAAAGCAACTTACAATTTTACTTTTGAGGTGTGAGTGTGCAGTTGTGCCTTACATCAGTACTCCACAACATAAATGTGTTCGTAGAATATCAAGAAAATCTTAATTGTTGTACCCAAAACAGGTTGATTTCACGTGGAACCTTTAATTCCTCTCAAACATTTTTATGGAATGAATATGTAATCAGTGCTTTAACTAAATTAATTCATTAAATACAGATCGCTCAATTTACCTTCATTTTGCCTATTTTCTGTTAATTGTATGACAATAATTTGGAACCTTTTGCTGCTCGTAATGGTGGGAACATTAAATCCAGCTGCTTATCAATTTACTAAAAAAACAAGGACAAAATGATGTTTATGGATTGTTTGTCATCTTTTATGTCCTGTCTCTGCAGGCTACTGCGATGTCAGTGGATTGCCTTGGCCGCCATGCTGTGCTGTCTGGGTGAGCTCTCTCATCAACCTCCAGCAGCGGCAGCCAGTGATGATGCACCATGAGAGCCACACTGCCCCTGTGGGCAGTGTTTTATTACAGCAGGACTCCGCTTTGCAGTACAGCAGTATACCTTTCGTAGTGTGGAGGGGTGCATTCTAGTGCATTGTACATAGTGAACAAAATCTAGATGGTGCGGCACTGAAGATTCAGAGTGGTGTGACACTGTTTTAGAGCTTCTCGGTAATCTATTTTATTTAAGGAAAAGTGAAGAATGTTGTCTCGACCTTTTGTAAAGAAGGTATCCGGGGTGGCGGTGTGTCCGCTCGGTGTGCGGTACCTGGAGCCGCAGCAGGTGTGAACCGTGTCCTGTCTGCGTGTCCCAGGCGGCGGTTCCTGTACATCGTGAACCTGGACACCCCCTCCGAGGCCCCGCGCAAGATTGGCCGCCAGAGCAAGTGGGACGTGGGGACGGTGCAGTGGAACCCCCACGAGTCGGGGGCCTACTTCTTTGCCGCCTCGGTGAGACTGTGGTGACAGGAGAACCAGACGAGATCGTTTGCCTCAACCTTTACTGCATCTGCACCCCCTTGGTTCCCCAAACATGTTCTAGCACCCCAGATCAAAGTCACTGAAGCAGTTTGGTTTTTAAATCCTGTGGTATTTAGTAACTATATAATGAAAGAGATAGAACTATATAATTTTTCTAAAATAGTTAAGAATATTATGGAAGAATTCAACACCCTTTTAAGTTTATCTTAAAATGCCAAGGTTTGGTGGAACAAAGTAGTTGTGTCTATGTGCCTGTGCTTAATTTGTGTTTTCAGTGATCCACCTTCTAAAAAAACCTTCTGTCGATGTGTTGGAAGTAAACACAGGGCTGGTTGATTTTCACTGTGACAGTGCTGAGAAGCACGGCCCAGGTTTCCCTGCAGTGGTTCAGTGCCAGTCTGACCCAGTGGCCTTCTTGTACTTGCAGAGTAACCAGCGGGTGGACCTGTACAAGTGGCGCGATGGCGCTGGGGAGATCCACACCTCGCTGCAGGGACACACGCGCGTCATCAGGTGACAGGCCGGTGGTTTGGGGTAGAGTGCTGAAATCAACAGAGAGAGTCTTTATTATTAGTATTGGTGTACAGACAGAACAAAAAAAAGTCAGGAACAACAATATACATACATATTTGCATAAAACATCACATGTTGAGTATTGATATGGCTACAGGTTATCCCCCTTTCCTGCCATAACTTGAGCCTGTTGCTTAGAAGTCCCTTCCTCTTGCAGAAAGGAATCAGTTAACCCCTTCTTCACATCTTGTATCTTTCTTCACAGTGCACATCACATAGTAGAGTATGCGTTATATATTGTGGCCAATGTGACCCACTTATTTGCTTTTTCATTGCACTATTGATAATGAAATCATAACTTAGTCTTGTGCTGCTTTTGTACTTCACAATGTTACATGGGCAAGTATAATTCAAAGGATCCTAGTGGAATATGCAGGACATGCAGGAGTAATGCACTAGTATCTGCTAGCGTGGTGTGTGTTAATACAGCAGAAGCCCAGTCCTCTCTCTCTTCCTGCTTTCCAGGTAAATGGTCTGACAGACTTGTTGTTTGTGCCTTGCAGTGACCTGGACTGGTCGTGGTTTGATCCCGAGCTCCTCGTGACCAGTTCTGTGGACACCTACATTTACATCTGGGACACCAGGTGAGAGGTGATCTTTTTGCTGTGAAGTAACATTTGTGAAAAGATCTGTTTTTTATTTTAGTTGTAAGGGTTATATTGCAAACTGCTTCAGATGTGGATATGTGACATTTGTCTCGGTTTCTAGTTACATATCTGTTTTAGAGTTGCAAGTAATCAGATTTTGCAGATATCCTTCCTTCTGTGTTCTTCTATATGTTGGTAGGTTTTAAAATATGAAAATGCGTCCTAAGATGCCTTTACTTCATGTTTTTCAGAGACACTCGAAAGCCAACAGTGGCCCTTTCTGCCGTCGGTATGTATTCGTTTTCGTTGATCTGGCCGTGATGTAATTTCACCTCTCAGAGGGCCTCACACTCTTTTTGTCTCTCTTGTTGCTTTCCCTGCCCTTGCTGTCTCCGCCACCCCCGTGTCCCTCTCTCATGTGGCTCTGTGGCTGTCTTCCCTCTCTGTCCAGCGGGGGCGTCCCAGGTGAAGTGGAACAAGCGGAACCAGTACCTCCTGGCCTCCAGTCACGATGGAGACGTCCGCATCTGGGACAAGAGGGTGAGCTGACCCAGCTTGATCCGATCTGGCGTGAAGTGTAGGGGGACCAGTGCAGTCCTGCCAGGGAGACTGCACTGGAGTCACCTACACCTCGAAACGCATCGGGGTCGGGGAACTCGTGCAAGAGTATGATTGATTCAAAAGCTAACTTTATCATTCACTCAAAAATAATGCAAGTGCCGTGCAAAGGTTCCAGCTTTGTCTGCTTGCACATGTAATGTGAACATATTTGCGATCACGTCCTTCAAATGTGTGCATTAGTAGAACTGAATCCCTGAACTCCTGTGAGCTTCCAGTGTCACAGGAGGAAGGAAGGGTGATATCCACCCATTCCGCTGGTCTCCTCAATAACTGCTCATAAACGGCGGCTTTGCCTCCGGATCTCTCCCTTTATGCTCAGAAACCCAGCACAGCAGTGGAGTACGTGGCTGCCCACCTGTCGAAGATACATGGCCTGGACTGGCACCCTGACAACGAGTTCATCCTGGCCACCTCCAGCCAGGACAATTCCGTGCGGGTGAGCACGCTCAGGCGTAGGTTTGATTCGGCAATGTCGGAAGAACCTCCTCACGAGTCTAAATTAGACGCATCTAGTATATGGCATCATGAATATTGGGTTTTTTTACATGGCGTGGAATTGACATGATAGCAGTAAGTGCTGGAAGCTCGTTTTCCAGAGCTGAAGAAACCAACACTGGTGTCTGGTGTCGACTAATTGTTTGTTACTCTTGATTGTAGGCCTTTTACATTTCGCAAGCCTTGCTTATTGATTGCACAGTGTGTTTGTGTCCTCAAAGCGGCTTCTCTGTGCCTCTGTCTGGTATTGCAGTTCTGGGATTACAGACAGCCTCGCAAATACCTCAACATCCTGTCCTGCCAGGTGCCAGTGTGGAAGGCCAGGTACACGGTGAGTAAGAAGAGGGCTCTTGCTCAGAAAACTACAGACGTGCAGCGTACGTCATGAGCAGACTAGGGGACTGCCTGTCTGACAGACCGTCTCAGAAGTCCATCTTTCGCTCTTTGGTAATGTGAGACAAGGACACACTTTTAAACCACTGACTTTTCCAGCATCGCCGAACTGTTTTCACCTGCTTGGTACTGTCTTTTCTCCTGCTGTGCTCTTTTATTTGTAAAATATTTATATTTAATTCTTTTATCTGTCTATTGGACTTTGCTCTCGTAAATGTTGAGGATGTTGACGGTGTATTTAGTGCAACTGAGCTGGCCTGGAAACGTATGAAGCATTCTTGTTACGTCAAGAACCAGCTGTACAACGCAGGACCTCTTGCGGTGTCGTTCTGTTTCTGATGATAGAGGTAACATGGCGTGACGGCTAAGGAAGCACAGTGTGTGTAGGTGTGGCATCTGACTCCCAGGTCAGGCGTGTGGAGCAGCTGGCTGCTGTCTCGGAAGATGCCAACGAGAGCAGCCAAAGGGAACGGATCAGGAGGTCTTTGTAAGATCCGTGGGAAAAAAAGCACCAACATCTGTTTTAGGACAGGACTGAAAACGTACTTTAGGAATTATGATTCACGACGGTGCGCGTGTGTGATGAAAGAGGGCTCGAGAGCCGCTGTGGGCGGCGGTCTGAGCGCGGCGTCCCTCTCGCTCTCTCCCCAGCCCTTCTCCAGCGGGCTGGTGACGGTGATGGTGCCGCAGCTGCGCCGGGAGAACAGCCTGCTGCTCTGGAGCGCCCTGGACCTCAACGCCCCCGTCCACGCTTTCGTGGGCCACGACGACGTCGTCCTGGAGTTCCAGTGGCGCCGGCAGAAGGAGGGTGGGCCCCGCGGCGCCGGCCCGGCCTCAGGGTCTTCTTGCTGTCGCCACAGTGGCCGACATTCAAGCGTCTTGATGTGCTCGTTTCTGGCTGACAATATGAGTTACCGCAGTTTGAAGTACATACTGGCATGACCTCCAGCGCTGCTCAGCACCAGACCTTAAACGTCACTTTTTTTATTTCATCCAAAACAAGTATCTCATGTGTCGGACTCAGTCTTCCGTTTTCTAGCTGGGGTCATTCACTAAACATGGGACCTGTTATAACAACTTATTTTCTTTAATACTGCAGCGGCAGAGACATTATGACCATCAATACAGGATTTACCAAAAATCATAGCGTACTGCTGTTAAATCACCTTAATATGTGAGAACCTGTGTGTAGCAAAGGTTCTCTTAAAAAGAACAGAATAGCAGACAGGCAATAATATACTGTTGGGAGGCTAAGGGTTGGTATTGATTGTTACTTATAAACAATTGCCTTGGAATAATTGCTATTTAGTATCTTGAGGTGCAGTTGTGGGTTTGTTACAGCAGGGCTGTATTTCTGCAACACGGTGGCTCTGAAACCCCCTCAGAAACTGACTACGCTTCAGGAGTTGGTCTGTCGCGTGTTACTTTGAGAAAAACATGTTGTAAATATTAGTATGATTTTCCAAATCTGCGGCCCCTGTTATCAGCTGGAGTAGACGAGAGACTGGTGCAAGGTCATGCTGTCATGATGGAAGTGCAAGGGAGAAAGCACCACAGGAGGAGGAACCTCTCACTGGAGGTACTGGCCTTGTGGAGGTGTTAACTGCTGCACCTCTCTGTTCTCCAGGCTCCAAGGACTATCAGCTCGTGACCTGGTCCAGGGATCAGACTCTGAGAATATGGCGTGTAGATCCACAGCTTCAGAGGGTAATATCTTGGAAAGAATTTAGCCAAGTCTTTCAGTTTTTAAAATGGTATTAATAGCAACTCTATGTCATCTGTAGATGTCATGTTCACTATTGACAGAATAAATATAATTTATGGCCTGATTACAAAATGCAGTTAGAAGTGTGCAGGCCACAGATTATGGGTGCATAACAAAATCCCCTATTCACAAACCACAAAAAATAAGTGTCTGAAAAGCTAAAGTGTAAGTGCACACAGTTTCTGGTATGGACATGCTCTTAAGTTACATGTTTTTTTTATTTATTTGCTTGTAGCCGTGCTACTGACACGTGTACTGTGGGCTAATGGTTAGTTCATGCTCCTGACAGGATACTGCTTCTCTTTAGATGTTTAGCAATTCTTTCTGAATTAGGCCTTATTTGATTTGTGCATATACATAGGAAAGAGCGAACTTAGGATAATTTTTAGTTTTAACAATCGTTTAGTATAGAAAGTATTGCAGTGCCTCAAATAAATGGCATACATCTGGACATGAGAATTATTACAACTATGTCTATAGTCAAATATTTCTTAAATACGTTTTTTAATACTACATTTTTAATATTCCTGCCTTCTTTATGAAGGATGACTGATTTTCTAATCAGTTTCTCTTGAAGAACGACAGGCCAGGTTTTCTTTAACACGTGATATTAGGGTTGGCTTTTTACCCCGGCTGGGTGTCAATCTGTGTCCTGCAGCTCTGTGTCAATGACATCGCGGAGGGGGTGGAGGAGCTGATGGAGGGCATGACGCTGCTTCCAGAATCGGACAAGGCCCTTCACCCACAAGACTCTGAGCCCCAGCACACCTCCGGCCACACCACTGAAGATGAGGAAGGTGAGGAAGTTGCAGTAATCTAGTAATCTTCTTGAGAAAATAATTAGTTTACCACCTTTTTAGAGACAACATAGGACATAGTCTGGCAATATTTCTGAGATGGCTGAATGATGTTTTTACAGTATTTTGGACATGTGGTCGAACATCACACCTGGATCAAACATCCCCTCCAGATTCTTCAATTTAGACTGAAATTCAAGCACAGTGCCATCCAGAGATAGAGTTACTGCATTGGCTTTACATAGTGTAGTTAATGGGAGATGCAGAGAATCATGACTTCAGGCTTGTCACAGTTCAAAAGGAAATTTTGAGTCATCCAGGTTTTTATATCATAGATGCAATTAGTGCAGAAACAGCTACTCCAGTGTTAGGTTTATATTATATTAGTGTGAATAATTCACACAGCTCCTGTAGACTTGAGGCAATGATGTTTGACACCAGGGGTTCCCAACTCTGGTTCTCTGTGTCCATTTCCACCAGATTTTATGATACTCCTTAATATACAAGAGCTCTACGTGTGGAAGAATAGTTTAATTTGTCCAGTTAAGGTTTAACTGAACAAGTGTGTCCCTTGTGCACAGCCTTAAGCTGTTGAGGACTTAAAGACATGTAGATGGCCTCCTGGGTTCTGGGTCCTGAGACCCGAGGTCCGCTTTACACGTTTGCACTGCGTTCCCAGACCAGCCGGACGGCCTCCAGTCCAGCGTCACGCCCGCCAGTGCTGGTAAGCAGGACCAGCTGGGTCTGCCCCAGACGCTGCAGCAGGAGTTCTCGCTGGTCAACCTGCAGATCCGCAACGTCAACGTGGAGGTGAGTGGGAGCCGAGGGCCTCATTTACGCCATCAGTTTGTTTGCTTTCTATTTAAGAACCTTGCGTGTCCGTTAAGCTCTTGAAGGTCTTTCTAACTGTTGATTTAATGATGAAGGTCGGCCACAGGTCAGCACCTGAATGGCTGGATATCCGCAGGTTTGCGCTGCTCTGTGTGCCACACCAGCCCCCCCGCTCTCCCAGCACGGCACCATGACTGGGTGTCACTGGGCTTTCGTGCCGGTTTTGCTTCCAGTACTGTAGTGTTTCAGGAGTCTCATTCCGTGCCTTTGAAGCATTGTGGCTGAAAGAAACCCGTCTGCAGCGTGCAGGAGGGCTGGGCCGCAGTGTTAACGCAGTGTGTTTGGCGGGGGGGCTGCCTGTGCAGATGGACGCCGTGAACCGGAGCTGCTGCGTGTCGGCTCACTGTGGCAGCCACCAGGTGCGCGTGGTGGTGAAGTTCCCGGCGCAGTACCCCAACAACGCCGCCCCCTCCTTTCAGTTCGTCAGCCCCACCACCATCCCGTCCTCCATGAAGACCAGAATCCAGAAGGTAAGCCGCTCCCTCGGGCCCCTGCTGCAGGGAGGGACAGCCAGGCTTGTTAGGAGCCCATACCGCCACTGAGACGGCTCGTTCTCCGTCCTCAGTGTCGGGAAGCTGTAAATAAACTCGGTCTTAAATGCGCAAATCTTTCTGTTAAGTCATGTTTTTTGGTCATTTCTTTCTTGGGGAACTGGAAGACACTGTATATCAGAAGCACAGAGCAGTATATGGTATTCAGCGCCGTTAAGGGCAGGAGGGGTAGAAGCAGTGCCCAGGGTGAACAGCTTGTGCTAGTGCTTCCTGTGACAAGGCAGACAATACAGGAGGAATGGAGAAATATTGTGGTACCAATAGCAAATGGGGGGGAAACATGTGCTGTCTGTTAACATCATTCCTTGAAGTGTTGGTATAGTGAACAAAGACTGATTCAATCACAGCTGGCTATGAAATGTAAATGAAACTCATTTTCTTCTCTTGATCACTTTATTTGTACCCAGCCCACTCTGCTCTCGGCAGCCAGGTCATGTCTCTAGTTTAATCCGAGACGGCTGTGTTATTTGCATGCGCCTGCTGCCGTTTCAGATCCTGACAGACACTTCCCTGCAGAAGGTGAAGAGGAATCAGAACTGCCTGGAGCCATGTGTCAGGCAGCTGGTGTCCTGCTTAGAGTCTTGTGTGGTGAGGCCCACTCATGGGTATTTCCCCAGGCCATTTAGAATTATTCCTCTAGCGCAGTGAGCGTCTACCCTTCCTCTCAGTAGTGCACATGGAATGAACGCTGTTAAGCTGCACAAAGATATTTTCTCCAGAGTTTGTCTAGGCTCCCTCAAGAAAGGGAAAGTGTATTTTTCTTAGTTGCTGTGCTTGTTAAACGTGGAAGAGCATATTGGGGGGAAAAAAAATAATAAAGTGTCTTATAATTCAGAGAGAATTTGCTACGTCATAATTTCATGATTATTTTCTTAATTAATTACAACATAATAGGTTAACATTTCTTGATGGCAGCAATGTGCTTCTGTAGTTAAACCTTTTATTTACATATTACGTACTTTATTTACGCCACTAAAGCTTGTAACAGTTGCCTGAAGCATTTTGCTTCTGCTGCTCATTGTTACAGTTTTGAAGTTCTACATTTGGACCTGTGTACCCCTCGGAGGCCTCTGTTTTCTCAAACAGGAAGGTTAGGTGGTTAAGTGTTCCTCTGAACTCATTTGGATTCCTCACTGTCATTTTAGAAGCTGTACTGGTGTATACATAATTAGCTCAGTTTTGAGATTAGATGATTTTTACAAACGTCTGAAGAAAACTTTGATTAGAGCTGAAAGTTTTATCCTTCATTTGTTTTTCTGCCTTTTTTTCCCTGGTATCTAGACTCAAGAGGAGAGCAGCTCCGGGAATCACTATGTCCTGTCTAACTCTGTGAATCCCACCCTTCCCACTTTCCCCCGCGTTACCAACACCTACGGCTCTTACCAGGACGCCAACATTCCCTTCCCACGCACCTCTGGGGCGCGGTTCTGTGGGGCAGGTGAGCAGAGAGCTTTCCTTAAACGGGCTTCTTTTACTGAACTGTTAGTGCTGCTCTGCTCTCTTGCTCAGAGCAGTTTTTCAACTGCACGATCCTGAGTGTGAGCGTCTGGACCTGCTGCTGGCTACCTTGGCTGAGAAGCTATTGGAACTGCTGAGTGAAGTTGTTTGTAATAAATCTAGAGCGCAGCAGTCGAATGCAGGCGCCCTTTTGGTTCAGTTAAAAAAGAGCCTGTTAAAAACCTTGACCGCACTTTTTTATTCTGCGCAGGTTGCCTGGTGTATTTCACAAGGCCTATTACCATGCACTCCTCTGTGTCGCCCACTGAACCCACGCCCAGGTGAGCTGTGCTAGGGTTGGAGACTGATTCCCCTCAGCCGCCGTGTTCGGGAATGTGGCATCCAGAACTATGTCACCTGGCTTTGTGATCCAGAATCTTTTTTTGGTAGTGGAAAGGGCCTTAACCGTCGCTGTTCTGTTTAATCATGCCCTAGAACTGATGAAGAACAGGCCAGAAAAACTCTGCTCACGCACGTCGGACAGCTTAGTCTCGGTTTTAATTTTTGTTAACACAGATTTATATGGACCTCGAGAGAGAACTTTTGTCAATCTGCTGAGAGATTGATATTTTTCCACTTGGCATCTGTATTGATCCAGATCTCATTATCCTTGCTAATTTGTGCCCAACTGCCTACTACCTGCAGTGTAGATGCGTGACTGCATAAGGCGAACAACGGTCTTAATTCCACCATTTTAAAAACTAAATCGGTTGCTTCAGGGTAGGAACGCGGAGTTCATGGCAGGCTGTGTGTACATGCAAGCTTGTGAGGGGGCTGTACATGAGGGGTCTCTTTCTCCCCCAGGTCCCTGTCGGCTCTCTCAGCCTATCACAGCGGGGTGGTGACCCCCATGAAGATGCGGAGCGAGACCCAGAGTGCTCTGCGCCTGTACAGCGGCAGCCCCACGCGCAGCGAGAAGGAGCAAGTCTCCATCAGCTCCTTCTACTACAAGGAGCGGGTAGGACGGGCGCCCGTGGCTGGAGGGGGGCGGACAGGGGTCTTACTGGGGGGTGCCGACGGTCAGGAACCTCGAATTGCGCCTGCAAAGAGCCGTCGCAGTTTTAATACTGGGTTCTGCTGGCAGGGGCTCTAAAGAGCTTGCGGTCTTTAACCCATGAGTGTTCATTCCAAGAAGAATGAACTTGAGAGACGTGGTCTGATTGAATGTGAATTCCTCATGTCCGAGAACTGTGGGAAAATGGCAGACGTTTCCTATTGGAATCTAGTGACCTGACAGGGGTTCTTGCTTTGTAAGGCTTGCTTTGCTTCTGTGCTGTCATCATATGCTTGTGTTGTTAATGGCTTTTTTTATTTGTGTTTCTGGTGATTTGGCCTGCCTGTACGTTGCTGTGGTCTGTCCCCATTCAGAAGCCTCCATACTCTGGCTCTCGCCGCTGGTCCATTCAGTTCATTCTCGACTGCCCGGTACTGATTCTGTTCTCATTTCTCCCCTGCACCCCAGACCCCTGCGCACCGGGCCTCGCTTTGCTCTGTGAGATAGCACCTATCACAGGTGCTCTGGAATTGCTGTTTGTGAGGTCTCTTTATTTGGTCACTGCTGTTGTGCTTTTACAGTCTGCGCGATCCCATCATTTCCTGACAAATGCTTTTTGCTGCCGTATTTTGAAAAGAAAGGGTAGCATTCTGCGACAAATAGTGTTGTGCTGTCCTGCGTCAAAGAAATCATAACAGTGCATTTTTCCCTTTAGCACAACACAACGGTGAGAAATACCCTTGAACAGTGTCTTCAGCTAATTTGATCCTCTGTTTCCTTGCAACACTGTTACATACTGTAACATAGGAAAAAACATGGCTTCACTACTGTGAAGTGTAGATCAGATTTTGTGCAAGAAAGTTTTCACACAAGATGTCAGTAACTAGGGTTTTGTGCTTTACCTTCTTTGTGTTGCTAACTCCCCTGTCCCTGTCTGTCTGTCTTAATTCCTACCTGTGCTTTGCAGCACTGCACTTAGAGTAGCTCTTATTGGAGAAGAGCTTCCAGATCAAGACCTCTTACAGAAAAAAAATGTCTATTGAAGTTTCGTGTAGATACAATTTATGTGAATTTGAAATTGAGCTTGCATAAGTAATTTTAGTTCCAAATTACCTAGTTGTATTTTACTTATGAAGGCATATAATTATAGAAACTGAGCTAATCTGTTCTCAGGGCAGGATTGCTGTTTCTAATAGAGCAAATTAATTTCTGAATGAAATTATCCAGTTTGTACTTGGGATGGACTATATTTCTGATTCTGTGTTTCTTGTTTTCCTCTTAATTCTGATTGCATCTGTGCAGGACATGTGTCCAGAGAAGGGCAGTGCTGACACCAGACAGATTGAAAAGACTGATTTTTCCTTCTCTGTCTGTCTCCTCTCTGTGTGTTAGAAATCCCGGCGCTGGAAGGGGAAACGTGAGGGAACGGACACCACGAACCGCCAGATCAAGCTGGCAGGCAAAGTCATCATCCAGGAGATCTCGTGCCTGCTGCCCGTGCACAAGACCCTGGGAGAGATGTATATGTGAGGACGTGCTCCCTTCCTTTATATCGCGTCTCTGCTCCACTGTCGTCTAGTCCCACAGTTCTAGGTGGAAGTCCAGTCCCCAAGCCTTTCTGTTCCCTAGATCTCTGCTTTGGTTTTCCTTAGTTCTCGCCGTCCACCAAACCGCAAGTTGCTCCTTTCTCCAACTTGTAAACTCCCACATCTTGATTGCGTGCTTGACCCTCCGTCACCTCTGACAGCTGGTGCACGCCGAGGTCTCGTCTCCTTGCCAGCCCCCCTCCTCTCCCCACCCTTGTCGCCCTGCAGTTCCAATGGGTGTGACTTTCCTTTCAGCCTGAACGTGAACGACATCCAAGAGACGTGTCAGAGGAACGCAGCAGCCGCTCTGGTCGTGGGCCGACGGGACCTGGCCAAGGTGGGCAGATTCCCCGTGCCTTCGGTGCAGCCGGTAGTCTCTCAGCCCGACGGCAGCCATATCACCCTGCAGCTCACAGCTGGCAGCCCCACTGGAGGTCAGCAGAAGGGGAGCCTGGCCAATACCTGGATGGGAGACTCCTGGGAAAGCTGAGGTTGCCGCTGGAAGAGGTGTTAGTGGGGCCAGTAGGGGGCACTCACCCTGCACTCTGTGTGGGTCCTAATGCCCCAGTATAGTGAGGGGGACACTATACTATACTGTATAAATATCTAGTCTTGAAAAGTGTAGGGGTGTTACTCCGGTGTCCTGGCCAAATTTCCCCCTGGCCTTTACCCATCATGGCCTCCTAATAATTGCCCATCTCTGAACTGGCTTCATCGCTCTGCTCTCCTCCCCACTGAGAGCTGGTGTGTGGGGAGAGTACTGGCGCCATCGCGTCATCCAGGTGGGGCTGCACATGGATGTTGGTAGTGGGATTGCCCACAGGTGTAAGGAATTCCAATTGCAGCGCATGTTCCCGGGGCAGTGGCGCCATCGCACTCTCACCCTGCCTGTGGCCCGTCTGCCCTCTGCAGGTGTGGGCCCTGGCTGCAGCGGCCACTGGCTGCGAGCTCAGTCCCAACGCGGACCCGGATGCGGGCACTCCCTGGGCTCGACACCCCTTTGGGCGCCACCTGCTGGAGACACTGTGAGTGTGTATGAGGGAATATTGGGGATCTCCACTCCTGGTACTGGGGAGCCTCCACCCATGGGGTTTTATAGGAAACCAGTAAATCATCGCTTTCTCAAGCATTCTAGAGAACGTGGAACAGACTTTTTCATAGCACAGGGACAGTGTCTCCTTAAAAAACAAAGATTACTGTACAAATTGGTGACAATAGGGCTCCAGCTGAACTGGAGCTTTGCAGGACCATGGCTGAGGCTCCCTGGTAAATAGGATTGGGAGAGATTATTAAGTTCTCTGGTTTTCATTTGCATGAAAACTAGTATCAAACTAGTATGTTCAAGGTGCTTTTCCGTCAGGATTTGGATAAGTAATGGAAACTCTTTGTTCTTTAAAAACATTAGCAAATGTTTTAGCAAATCTATATGTTATAGAATTAAATATATTATAGTATATAAAAATTATGCACCAGCTCTGTGCAGGTGTTCGGCTGTCATTTCGTCTTGGGAACTTCTTGGGCACTGTATGTTTCTGATGGTAAAAATGTGTTCGTCCCCCAGGCTGGCTCACTACAGTAAGATGCACGATATCCAGACGCTAGCCATGCTGTGCAGTGTGTTTGAGGCGCAGTGCAGCCCTCAGGACTACTACACTCTCTTTGGACACCTGCCTTACCGCTCCTCCATCTTCACGCCCCATCACTCCCGCTTTGTAAGTTTGCTGTACACACCTGGCTCTGCTCACGGCCAGTTTCTCCCTCCTCCCACTCCTTCACCCCCATCTCCCTCATCCTGCACAAGAGACACCCCCATCTGCCTCAGCCTGCTCCTCAGTGTGACAGGAGACACCCCGATCTCCCTCATCCTGCACAACAGACCCCCATCTCCCTCATCCTGCACTTCAGTGTCACAAGAGACACCCCCATCTCCCTCATCCTGCTCCTCATCTTACACAAGAGACACCCCAATCTCCCTCATCCTTTACCTCAATGTGACAAGAGACACTTCATTTTTACCATTACAACCTGAACGTGGTCATGTGAGGTACCAAAATCCTGTGGGCAAACTGCCCAGTCGATAGCAAGTAAATTAGCTGGCCAGTTTATCTTCAGTAAACCTAACTTCCCAAACCATAGCTCAGTCCCATGTGTGTCCTCACACCATAAACTGCTACAACACTTTAACCAACAAGGGACATTGCATATTACCTGATTGTTTCTCTTACTTGTTCCCCTTCCCCTCGCAATCATGCATGTCCTCATGCTGACCTTCTCAAGTGGGAATCGTTAGCATGTCCTCATGTTGTCTCACACTGCTGCCTTAACGGTGTCACTGTCTTCCACCTCTCCCATCAGCCCAGCTACACCTCCTCTGGCTCCTGCTCCAGCACCTCGGACTCTGGCATCAACATCGGTAAGACAGGGGCCTCCCGAAGCCACAGCCAGGCTCCATGCTGCTGGTCCCTGCAGCAGTGCTAAACTAATCTGAGGGGTGGCTAAAATCTGTTATGCAAATGATATCTTCCAGTAGGTGTTCACTGTTGACTCATGAAAGTATGAGAAAGTCACAGTCATGCTGGCATGAGTGAGCTCAACCACTCCAGTGAGATTCACAGCTCCCGTCCTAGTCTGAAAGGCCTGTGAATACAGGAAACACTGCAGCAGTAAAGGTCACTTGAACCGGCATCACTGTCATGGCCACATGATGATTCCTCTGAGCTCTCTGTTGTATGTGGACTTAATTGTCTTTGGATCCTATTGGTTGGATTTAAACAAAAGCAACTGTGGAAGTGGCAGCATTTTATTAATAATCAGTAAGAATGATTGGTGGATGCTTTTGTCCAAAGCAGCTTATATTGTATTATGTGCATCTTTTTTACATTCTGAGTGTTGTGGTCTGTGGTAAGTGCTAGTTACAAGGCGACTATACATCTGCGACTGCATGTCGCAGTCAGTCAGGTGATCATTAACAATTGGCTTTGGTTAATGGAACTATTTTTTTAAAAGAAAGTGGGAAAAGATCTGCAGGAGATGTGGATTGTATTTTTGTGCTGTTTAGCGTCACTTCCTGTTTCTCTTCATTAAGTACAAAAGGGTTGTTTTACATTTGCATGAACAGGTGTGCCATTGATTGGTCAATATCTGTAATATATAGTGATTATCAGCTGCTGTCGGCCGTGGAGCTTGAGGAGATTGTCAGCTTGCAGGACAGCTTTGAGTCCTGGGCTCCTTGTCTGACCTTCTCCTGCTGCTCTGTCTTGCAGTAGGCAGAGACTCCGAGCATACCGCCCCCTGGGGGGAGTCCTCCCCTGATGACTTTCGCTATGGAAACCAGGGGTACACAGATCCCCGAGAACGGGAGAGGGACCAACATGACAAGAACAAACGGTAACTGGGCGCATGTGTGACATGGTACTGAGACCTGAGGGATTGGTGTCCGGACTTGAGGGGTGCTGGGGGTTCTTGTTCCTACTGCCAGCGGAGCGGGTCGCGCAGAGGCGTCTGCAGAGTCCCGTTCCGCGCTTCGCTTCGCCCGTATCGGTCTGGAGCCGCTCTGTCTTTCCCTCTGCTTCCAGGCTCCTGGACCCAGCCAACGTCCTGCAGTTCGATGACTTTAAGAAGTGCTACGGGGAGATCTTGTACCGCTGGGGTCTCCGGGAGAAGCGCGCAGAGGTCCTCAAGTTCACCTCCTGTCCCCCAGAGCCACACAAGGGGATTGGTGAGCCACTGATCTGCTGTCACTTCAGAACATGAGAGCCGAGTCAACCCAGAGGGGGACTCGTGGTCCATCTAGCCCGTTGGGTAGCTATTGGCCCAACTGCACTCGACCAAGGGTCTCTTATAGCTGTTTCTTAAAAGAAGCCAGCGTGTTGGCATCAACAACATGGCTAGGTAGCTTGTTTAGTACTCCCTCTGGGTGAACCAGTGCCTCCTGTTTACCCTCCCAGTTACTTTGGAAGAGCAGAGGGGGGAAGAGTGGGGAGTTGGGAGGTTGAGTGACTAACCACTCTGCACTGGTACTGCCCAGGGCTGAGGACGGCATTGCTTTATATCCCCTGGCGTAGATTGGGATGGGAGGAGAAATAGGACTGGTCCCTGACAGGTGTATATTTTCAAACTGTGACGGTGAAAGAATATAAATAACACGTTCAGAAACTGGAGCACTGAGATTCCATGAAGGGCAGGGGCTCCCCAGGCAGTGAATTCACAGGAGCCTCCTTGCCCGCATGAGAATGGCTGCTGGAGGTGTGTGGGAAGGCCGGCGCGGGGCTGGAACCTGCCTGCCTGTTCGGGGTTCTGCGTCCTGACGCTCACCCCGCCGCTGGAGTGTGTGAGCGGCTCGGCCGGGTGTGACTCTGTCTGTCTGTCTCTGTGCCCCCAGAGTTCGGGGTGTACTGCTGCCACTGCCGCAGCGAGGTGAGGGGGACGCAGTGCGCCGTGTGCAAGCGCCTCACCTTCCAGTGCGCCATCTGCCACGTGGCCGTCCGCGGCTCCTCCAACTTCTGCCTGAGCTGTGGCCACGGCGGGCACACCAGCCACATGATGGAGTGGTTCCGCACCCAGGAGGTGTGTCCGACGGGCTGCGGCTGCCACTGCCTCCTGCAGAGCACCTTCTGAGCCCGGAGAGGCCTCATCGCCGCGATCGACCGGCAGGCGTGCCGGCAGAGGTCTTGTTGGGGTTTTTTCCGGGCTGTGTAAGGCTGTGTCGTTTTTGGCTCGTTGATGAGTCGCCGGCATGTAACTTAAAAAAAGAAGTTCGCTTCAAGCGTGACGGGCTGCTTGGAGGCGGATTTTGTCTTTGGTTCTACAAATATTTCGCTACTGGCGGAAAAAAAGGATCAAATCTTGAATGACAGGAGTATTTTCTGTACCTTTCTTGAGAATGTGCAATGTGATTTTTTTTTACCTGTAATATTAAGCTCATTGCAAGATTACCCAGAAATGGCCTGATCATGATCTGCAGTTTGCCACTGAGAGCTGTACTGCTCGAGACCTCGAGCTGAGGCAAGGGGCATAAGGCATGGCCATCATTCATGAATTAAGGTAATGAAGTGCATTGGTTTGGATATTCCAAATTACTTTCAAGACAGTAGAGAGAATTAAAGCTTTTTTGTTACTAACTTTTCCATCACAAAAGGGCTTGATATCCCAGATGTTTCTGGTTTCAGTGTAGGCTGTGTGCTCAGCTGTGACCAGGACTCCTGGAGTGCACATGGAGAACTGGCTCAGCTCCTCTGGGACGTCCTGGGATTTCATCCACTCCCAGGGGTTGGTGCAGCAGCAGACCAGCCAGGCACCTGCAGAGGCACCGTGACATCAGTGGGGCCTCCAGCACTAGAGCTCCTGTGAGGCTCAGGGAGCCTGCAGTGTCGGAGCCGCGGTGTCCTGAGTGGTCATTGTGCTCAGATCTTGGAAAGATTGTAGCATAAAGCCAATTCGCAAGGGATGGGCAAAGTAGAAGTAGGAAGATTATTAGAAATAGAAAATAATCGAAGATTCCAAACTAACACTTTTTTTTCCTAGTGCGTTTGTCAGGCTTTCCGGCACATTTCCAAAAGTGCTCCGAGTATAGTGCTTTCCAGGCTCTGGTCAGGTATTCCGGCAGCTGCTGCTGTCTAACTCTGCTGTTGACCCGTGAGTTTGGCCCCTGAGTGACCCGGGGGCTTGGGCATGGCCAGGCTGCGTTCTGCAGCACACTCTCTTTCTCTTTTTTCCCTGCTTAGCATCGACACCGTTTTTTAGAAAAACAGTATTTTGGGTCACTGCCCTGTTATAAGTTTTCTTCATGAACAGCTTTGATGTGAACCATTTTTGCCAGTACTGTATGGATCAAAAACTTTGCACAACGGTTGGAGATCATTGTGCTCTAACAGAGCAGACTGGGATATTACATGTAGACATTCATCTGTCTGAAAGACAGGATAAGGACCAGCTTTTTTGCTGTGGGATTTGCGGGCTGTTGGGAGGGTGATTATAGGAGAGCAGGATATGACGCAGTCAAGACTGCACTGTGTAATGAGTTTGCTTGAGGTTCTAAACGCTCTCTTTAGGGAGCAGTTTCAGTTAAGAGGCTTTAAACAGGATCTGATTGTGATAAAAGGGAAGGAAATTTTTACAGGGTCACCCTTGTACAGGTGAACTTTTGTTTTTTTTGTAAACCCAACCCAGCTTGTACAGACACAAAAATGTATATATACCAAGATGTGTAAAGAAATAAACCTTTTTGATTAAATCCTTTTTTGTCAATCTTGTCTTGTAAATGTGCAAAAGTTTACACTTTTTTTTTAAACTCAATTATGTTGGTTTTAATAATAATTGCACTTTCATAACATAGCTCTTTTCTGGACATTCCACTCAAAGTGCTTTACAGGTAATGGGACCCCCACCTGGATGATATCTCTAATCTAATCACATCTAATAAATGGGGATCAGGTGAGCAAATCACTGTGTATCTTTCTGGCCCTTAAATATTGAAGACATGTGTCCAATGAAACGAGCTCCCATTTCACGTTGAAATGAGTTGGGGAGGGAGATAAACATTTCTCATTAATATTGTCATCCAGGTGGGGCTGCACACTGGTGGTGGTGGAGGATAGTACCCATTACCTGTAAAGCGCTTTCAGTGGAGTGTCCATAAAAGCGCTATATAAGTGTAAGCAATTATTATTATTATTATTGTAGTCTATTCTAGATATAAAAACGTGCCTTTTCTTGCGATACTCCTGCTGGCTATTCAATCACGTGGAGTGCCTCTCCAGGTGACGTCACGGAAGCGCCATCGCGGGGTTGGCGGCGTCTGCTGTTGCTACGGCAACTCGTCACGTTGCCAATGATGCCGGGCGGCGTGGTAGGCGTTATACGTCCGCATTCGACTGAATCCCTCCGCATAGCGTCGTCATATACAAAGTAGTTCCATGGTAACCGTGCACCTCGCCTACGAACACGGGCACACTGGTTTACTATCGCATACTCTGAATATATTACAAGGTCAAAGAAGAATAATAAGACGCTGGCTGTGGGTTTTTCATAACCTCGTTGTTGTTTTTTCGCCTTGTCGTGGCGGATGAATCTGCAAGTGAAGTTCCCTGATTATGATCTGGGCGAACAGCAACATTGGAGCCTGTTGCGCACACGTGTAGCGGAGTTTATTCCTATCATCAATAATAATAAGGATTCATTGTTGAACCCAAGTTATTAACACATTTCTTGCGTTCGGGCTTTTTTTCCCCCAACCCGCTGCACGAATCGAGAGGAACGGTACCCCCCAACCTGGTCGTCCGAGAAGAGTCGGGGTACAACAGCAGAGTTTCCCCGGTCAGTCTGCAGGCTGGTGATCCCCAGTTAGCTGCAGCGTTAATTCCTTTCATTCCTCGGACTGCTTGTGCGGTCCTCTGGGACTGGACCATGTTTAAAAACACGTTTCAGAGCGGTTTCCTGTCGATACTGTACAGCGTGGGTAGCAAGCCTTTGCAGATATGGGACAAGAAGGTAAGACATCTGGTTCATTCTGGTTATTGTTTCAGCATAATATGTACTTTTAGTTTAATTTTATTTCTTTGTAAGATACGTAGAACGCGCAGGCCATGTTCTCTTATAGTTCATTATGCCTGATCTCTTGTATGTCATTATGTTGCGCTCTGGGCATTTATATTGAGCCTGTGTTTTCCTGCAATAGCGCGTATCTCGCCGAATGCACTAAAATAAGTATCACCTTTCCACATTGCATCAAATAAACGGATGCCGCCCTATCAGATATATTGATTTTTGTTATCTTTAGCGGTAGAACTTGTTAGTTTGATCTTGCTCCATTGATTTTTTGAAGTATTTCTAGCCGGGTGAATTTCTCATAGTTGCATTCCTTATAACGAGCCGTTTCCTTGCGAGGTCTGTACGCAGGTGTGTGTCGGGTCCGGACTTCATCTGTATCCGGTGGGTCTGTGTTTTAGGTCCGAAATGGCCACATAAAGAGAATCACAGACAACGATATCCAGTCGTTAGTCCTGGAGATTGAGGGGACCAATGTCAGGTATGGCTGTGCACTACCCATTCACCTAGTGCTGCCTCTTCACCAGGAGTCAAGATCAGTGAGAGCTGACATTTACACTGAATAAGCCTATCACTTCACTACAACAAATTCTCAAGGTTATCAGAAAAACAACAACTGCAACAACCTCTTTTTTCTGCACCTGCACTGATATTTGTGCACACACACTCACACCAAGGCCAGTTTTCCTAGAAGCCAGTTAACCCACCAGTGTGTCTGTGGACTGTGGGAGGAAACGGGAGCACCCGGAGGGACCCCAGGCAAATGTGGGTAGAACATACAGACTCCACACAGACAGCTACCGCCAGGAATTGAACCCAGGGCCCCAGTGTCGTGAGGCAGTAATGCTAGCAACTGCACCATCGTGCCGCCCACGAACAGACGTCACACGGGTAAATTCTGTATGCCAGCTCACATTTGTCAACAGCGGAGCGTTCTGCTGTTAAAGTCGCAGGCTAGTAGTGTGTGGCTCTCACTAGGAGCAATGAAGCTGCACATCTGTGACCCTGCTGTTCGCCAGGCGTCAGGTCCTTTCGGAGAGCCTGGACAAGCATGTGCCTGTTCCCAGCTGTCCCAGCTCTTCCCACAGATGTTCAGTGAGGCTCACATCTAGCAAGCAGGGCGTCCACTGCGTGACGGTCACAATCGCTTCTTCCAACAAAGCTACTGACAAGAGTGATGCATGTCTTTTGATCTTAGTACTATATGTCTCCAGTGCTCCCCAGAGCATGTACATAGCAGCTGTTCATCTAAATTGACTGAACTGAGTAACAAGGTGTGAGGAGCTCGTTTAATTTGATCACGGAACAACATGTTGTTTCATGTGAGAATCATTCTGCGTCCTTTTCTGTTTTCCCTCTTCTCCGGTCAGTACGACGTACATCACCTGCCCAGCAGATCCCAAGAAGACGCTGGGCATCAAGCTGCCCTTCCTGGTGATGATCATAAAGAACTTAAAGAAGTACTTCACTTTTGAGGTCCAGGTGGGGCCACTCCTCCTTCCTGTCCGTCTCATGACATCACTTCCTCATACTGCCCCTCCCACAGCGCGGCTGAGTGGATCCCGTGGGTGACTGCTGTGTCTGTCTGCGTAGGTTCTGGATGACAAGAACGTGCGGCGGCGTTTCCGGGCCAGTAACTACCAGAGCACCACGCGGGTCAAGCCCTTCATCTGCACTATGCCCATGCGACTGGACGACGGCTGGAACCAGGTTCAGTTCAACCTGTCTGATTTCACCCGCCGCGCCTACGGCACCAACTACATTGAGACCCTGCGCGTGCAGGTAAGCCCTGTGCTCCCCCAGGTCAGAGGAGCTCTGGGCGCCCTACTGCTGTTCCCCCCAGCCCTGAGCTATGATATCAGTCCATCAGGCTCTTACCTCCAGTCTGCTGCTTCCCCGTCTCCCCCCTGACTCAGCCACAGTGCTCCCTTCCTAGATCTCCATCTCGAACCAGCAGACTAAAAAGCTCTTCAGTTCATCAAGCTCAAGCCTAGGGTACATCACTGTCACCTCTCGGTCCCAATTTTGCCCTTTTTTACCTCCCTCCTATTCTCATCCTGTTCGTGCTTCTCCCAGTTTTGTCTGTAAGGCCTTGTCCACACACTTTCCTATCTTTCCCTCTCCATGTCTCTTCCATGGTGCTGCTTCATACCTGTTGGCTTTTCTTTAACCTTTAGATTCACGCCAACTGTCGGACCCGGAGAGTTTATTTCTCTGACAGACTCTACTCTGAAGACGAGCTTCCAGCGGAGTTCAAGCTCTATCTCCCAGTGCAGAGCAAGGCGAAGGTATGAGATGGCCAGGCAGTGCGCAGACCCCCTGGAGCAGACTCGGGCACCTGGGTCAGCCAGGTGCTTCTAGAAAGTGATGTATATTCCAAAACCCCGGATGAAGAGTGCAAAAACAGGTTGGGCTGTCAGGAAAAGGAAAACTGTCAGTTGTCAATGTTAGAAACAAATCGTGTGTTTAAACTCTGAAAACCCCTGAAAAACAAAACACATCTGACGGATTTTCTCAACTTGTTTCGCCAGCACTGACTGATTGACCTGGACCTGCTGAAGAACCTCGCCTGAGGGCACCGGGAGCACGGTTCACACTGCACTCTCTTTCTTACGTGTACAAATATGTGTATTTAAAAAGATGTAAAGTTGTTCAGGCGTTAAGTTTCTTTTCAGAGGAGCATGAGGGGCCTGCAGGGTCATTGACTTGGGGGAAACAGGCAGCCACCCCAAGGACTTGAAGCTCGTTGAGTTAAATGACCAGGCCCCAGCTGTCAGTGTGAGGGCCTGTACCTCTGCAGTGCTAGAAAACATCATTACAAGTGCTACTGGCAATCAAGATGACGCTACGCTAAGTGTGTGGTTGATAAAGGCTTTGTATTTAATCTGTGAGAAAAAATGCAGTATGTGTTCAAGTGAAGTTTATTTGGTAACAAATGTTTTGAGTTTTACACTGAAGAATGCCAGATCTAAAATTGGCTGTTACAATTCCTGCGATTCAGTCCTCAACGGTGACTGGTAAATTGAAGAGAGCTGTTCAGAAGTCAGAAACTGAGATTACAGCTTAAACTCTCAGAGTTATCTTGAAAAAAGATGCAGTTTCATGTTATGACAGTCTTGATGTATTTTGTTACCTTGAGAACTAAGCATTATTTACTGATGTTAAGACAGCTTGCAATAATTATTTTCTTATACGTTTTTTGTGGATATTATAAATTTTTCAATGAACTACAAAATAAAAATCACATGGATTAAGCACATGTTTTATTAGAATTTCATTCCATTGTTCTGCCAAAGCAGTGGGGAACTTAACGGTGTTGACGTCTGTGAACTGCCTCGCTGATTTATCATGTAGTTATATAGAGTTTTCTTACTATGTTTATTTTGACAGTCTCGATTCGTCTTTTTTTATTTGTGTGTGTGTCTGGTCTAGAGAGGGTTACAGAGCTGCGGTTGGTCCCATTATGTTATTTTCACAGCCACAGGTCTGATAAGAACTGGAAATTCTAGAGTTTAATTATTTCATGTCCGGACATTCCGCTACTGCGAAGCCGGCATGACGTGTGCGCTCACCCAGGATGTGGGCAGGCACTAGGGCCCGGGGGAGGAGCGGCCCTGCTCTTCAAACGGTAAGGGGCTGCAAAAGGTTTCATTTCCAGCTCAAGCAGAGTAACAGAAAACATCTCAGTTCACTGCAGAGCAGAGACAAGATCTCCCTGGTCACTCAAGGTAATTATGCATTACAGACTCGGATGAACAAACTTTGACTCTTAAAGAAACATCGGATCACCTTTTAGATGGTGAGGGTTGTGGTTTGATTCGGAAAAATACTAAGGAAGTTTATTTTGTACAAATAATCTGTGGCTCCATGATATATACAGCTGCTGTCCTGTAAACACTGAGAGGAGGATTGAAGTCCTGATCTTTTTTTCTGCTTTGGTGGTATGCAGTATGAGACTTCATCTCAAGTCCAAACCAAGATCCACACGCTTGTAGCGGTAAAACGGGCTGAACGATCTGATGGCGGGGGGGTTAAGATGAGCAGTATGGGAATGAAGCTACAGCTTCTGCACTTGTGTTTTTCACAAGACTAAAATGCGGAGCCGTTCAGAAAATTGAGGGAAACTGTGAAATAGGCTCAGCGCCGCGGAGTTCAGGTCAGCCTTTCCCCGAAACCTCACACTCTTTGACGGAAGTCTGTCACAGCTGTGTTTGCCCTTTGACAATGGATTGCCTCACACTGCTCTATTTCACAAGAGCACAAAGCACACGCACCTAATTATGCTAAAAGGGTGTGAGTGAAGCTGTGTTAATGTGAACTTGTCTGTATTTGGAAAATGCTGTGAGCAAGAAGTGCTAGACTTCAGTGCTGGCGTATTGTTCAGGAGTTGTAATTGAAAGGAGGAGGCCTCTACAGGACTGGTCTGTGGTAAGTGAGCATACACATCTGGAATTCATTTCTCTTGGAGCTAAAACTGATTTTTGAACCAGGAACCTCAGCACAGAAGCTTATCTCCAATCTTATATGATACACCGCAGTGATTCTGGTCCATTCCTCGCAAAGCCTTTCCTTTTCAGTTCTTAAAAACGTGACTCCAAAATTTGCTCTTTCAAATTAAAGAAAAACCCAGTTGAACTGATAAATTCCTTCTAGTGGGTACCTTTCTTAGCGCAGCAGGAGAGTTGAGAGGTCGGTTGCAATGCTTAAAGGTTTAAGTGCTTGTCCTGCCCGGGCCTGTGTCTGCCTCTGACATGTTGATATTTCCAAGGTGCAGTCAGGGCCTTCAGCTGCCTCTGTGCACATCGTCAGATCTTTGCAGTGAGTGTGTGTCTGCACTGCATCCTTTCATATAGCTTTGTTTTGTTCTTTCAAGTTGCGCAGCGGGATGGCACAGGGTTAGCATTGCTGTGTTGGGGCCCTGGGTTCAATTCCCAGGGTACTGTCTGTGTGGAGCTTGTATGTTCTTCCCATGGGCTTCCTCCAGGTGCTCCGGTCTTCTCCCACAGTCCTTAGACACACTGGTAGCATAATTAGCTTTGGGGAAGCTGTCCCTGGTGTGTGTATCTGTGTTTCCTCCCACTCCCCGGGGACTCTTTATTGGAAGATGTGGTTAGAAAAGTGATGGATATTTCACAGCTATTCTGCGTTTATTTTAAACATCAGCATTAAACATCCCTTTCCATGTCAGCCCAATCCTCGGTTTTATCTGAGTCACTTGCTACTGCTTTTTTGTTTGCCAGTCCTTCATTTTGTGTATCATCTTGGAATTTAACTAACTGGCTGACTACACCTGAATTAAGTCATTGATCTGAATCAGGAAGAACAACAGACCTCAGACCGATCCCTGCGTACACGACTGCTTACTTCTGCCAGGTCCTCCCCTTCAGATGATGTGCTGTTTCCTATCGGTTAGCTCCACTTTAAGTTCTGAAACGGGCCTCTACTGTCTATACTGACCAAGTCATTACAAATCATTCCAGGAACTCTGTGAGACACGGGAGTACCAAAAAGGCAGATCCTGTGCATACTTTAATAAATTAATAATTTGATGCACAGATATATAATTTAATCTAAATATGTCATGTCATGTGCTTTAGATGAGTCAAATGACCATATTAAGTGTTCAAAGACTATTATGATAAATCTGTCTTTTCTAAATCCATGTTGGTTGGCTCTTAAAACACCTTATTCTGTCACTGTTCTAGGCTGGCTCTATTGTTTCCACAACTTGACGAGTAACAGAAGTAGGAGTGGTTGTTTCCAGTACTGTAGTTTCCCGGATCGGATTTAACAGCTGATTTAAGCAGAGTATCATGACAGTCGTCAGCCTTCAGGCGCTGTCCTGCTCTGCCCTGCCTCCAGTGTGCAGCACGCTTGGGCAATTCCCAAAAACCCCAATCCCCGGAGCAGGATTCCTGATCGCTGACTCACTCTTGCCCTGACCTGACCTGGTAATTCCAGAGGCCCCAGGGACAGCAGTGTGATCTGTCGTCCCCAAGCAGTTCTGTTCCACGGCTCTGCTGTCAGCCTGAAGGCACTGGTGAGGATGTCAGTCGCAGCCCTGACTAACTTCATGTCCTCTGATGTAGGAGAGGAGCTTCAGTTTGAGGAAAGGACAGAATTTGTATGAAATTTTGAGTAGGAAAAGGCTATCTCTGATGTTTGTTTGGTAAATCTGTTTTTACACATTGCCACACAGTAACCACAAGACAAAAACTAGATTTTTTATGTAAAAAATATCCAGGCTTCTGATTTGTTAAAGAGATTCAGAATCTGTCGGGTTTTTTTCATTGTCTTCTTTTCCTTAGCAGAAGAGGACACTTAAAGGACACTTAAAAACAAGCTCCTTTCTTGTTTTGTGTTTTTTATCCATTTGGCTTCTCTCACTTCCCCTTCCCCTCTTTTCACTTTTTCTAGATTTTGGCATTTCTCTGAAACCAGGTATTACGACACAAGCACAGTATTTCTTTTTCCCTTCTTAATCTCTCGGTTTGTTTTGCTCAAGTTCTCTTCAACAGCAGATGCATCACGTTGGAGATGGGTAAGGGTAGGGTGGGATCTTTTCTTGTGGAAAACAACTTGATTAAAAACTACAATGTGCTCAGCAGCCCCACCCAGCAGTCAAATGAAGGTTGTTTTGCATGGTTTTCAGGAAGGATAGTGCCTGAAGCAGAGGCTCAACACAAGAGGTGTTTATGCTGCAGAGAACACACTGTATGTGATGTTTTGCGCGTTTTTGCATTTCTGTTTTGTTGAAATTCTATGTGTGTGTGAGTGTGCTTTATTAAATAGGCAAAAAGGGGGAGAATCGAGTCCAGTGAACACAGAAAGTAACATGACATGACTCTCTTTACGACTGTCAAAGCTTTTTAGAATGATTGGGTTTCACATACCTGTGTCCTTCATTGCCTGCCTTCCTGTACTAAAATACCGTTTGTTGTGTTGTGGACAGAGTTAGTATTTGTGTAGGGATGCAGGAAGTCACGGCGCAGCTTGGTGAGGGTTCACTCTGTTGTGAAAAGGGCTTTTCTGAGAACAGACATACATTGCCCTCCCTGCCTGATCTACTCTATATGCAGATCTGCACAAGCGGCCTGTATATCTCAGGACCACTATATTTAGCATTAACCTTTAGATCCTTCATACAGATTTCCACGTATGGGACAGTGGAATGCTTAAGTGTCACATGTCTTTTCTGTAATTATACAACACAGGGAAAGTGTCTGTTTCCCTGCTCATGCAGAGCATTGATTCACTTCTGGACTGCACGCAGCCCCCTGACTGACTGACCACGCTCTCCCCCTGCCCAGCCATGGACTTCGTGGAGCCGGTCCTGGGCCTGGCCCAGGAGCTGTACTCGCTGTGCGCGGCGGTGAAGGCCAACAAGATGCGCTGCCAGCGGCTGGCGAGGCGGGTGGAGGCGCTGATGGTGCCCGTGCAGGTGATCAGGGTGCGGGGGCCGGGCGGGCAGCCCGAGGCCGTGAGCCGCGCCCTGCGGGAGCTGAAGGGCACGCTGGAGTCGGGCCGGGAGCTGGTCCGCCGGTACGCCTCGGCCAGCTGCCTGAAGAGGATCCTCCGGGTGGGCGACCTGGGGGAGGAGTTCGAGACCCTCAACGAGCGGCTGAACGACGCGGCGCAGGTGCTCTCGCTGGCCCTGCAGGCCGACCAGAAGGCGCGGCTGGAGAGCGTGTTCAGGGAGTCCGCGCGCCGCGGGGAGGACAGCGCGGACAGGGAGAGTGACCACAGGGAGCTGCAGAAACGTAAGGCCGCCAGCTGTCCCCGTGCCGTCTGTGTGCCCACCCTGCCCCCTGCCCAGTGTTCACTCCTCTCACCCATGGCCCCCCCAGACCCGCCTGTGCTCCTGACGCACATCAGCTCGGCTATGTGTCCTTGCGGGATGAGAGCTCGCTGTCTCACTGTGTCCTTCTCCACCCCCCAGTGCTGTCCATAAGCGAGGACACGAACTCCAGGATGAAGGCAGTGGAAGAGACGGTGGATTCCACCCAGAAAGACGTGGAACAGATCCGGGGCCTGCTGGAGTCCTGTGAGCGTGCCTTCATGCCGTGTCTCATCAGCACACACCCAGTCACACCGCTGGGTTCTCAAAGTCTCTAGAGGGTCTTTGTCTTTCTTCACATGAGCAAAGCATTTCTGAGCTCCTTCCCAGTGACTCATTAACGAGGCTCTGTGCTGCTGTGGGAGTCACATGCTCCTTTGCTTTGCGCCCATGCTGATGAGCTCTCCAAGAACACGCAGCACCAGGATGAAATTCTCATCCTTACTTTTTAACAGTGTCAATTTGATGACTGCTTTCAAAAGCCCAAACAATCTGACACTGTGAACTTTCAAGCACAATGGTTTCAAGTGCAGATACCAGGGTTGTTGTTCGGTGTGATTGTTTGTGATGCGAGAATCATGTTCTGTGACTTTTTCCTCTGCCCTGAGGCCCAGTGTTGTGTGTCGGGTCATTGACACTGTGCTTCTCATTCCCTGTGAGCAGTAATGAGGCCCAGCCTTCACCTGCAGGACATCAGGGAAATCCGTGTGGATGAGCTGACCTACGACAGCAAGCCCATCTTGACCACCGGCAATTCGGAGCTGTACAAGGGGGAGTACAACAAGTTCACCGTGGCCATCAAGAGATACACCTACCCGCTGAACACCAGCCCCCAGTAAGCCATGGTGAATTCTGCACTGCAGCCTGCACACCTGAGTGAAAGCTGGTAGCCAGCAGGTGCAAAGATCTAACACACCTGTTTCCCAGAAGGATTGCAAAGCAGAGAAGGCAATTTGTGTCACCTTGCAAAAACACATCAGATGTTCTGACTGATGTGTTAACAACCTAACAGAGCTGAGAGTCTTGTGTACATGTTTACTTTCTGAAGCTTGCATTTGGGCAATTTATAAATCTGGAGCTAGTTATGCATGAGCGAGATTATATCACTCGGAGTGCATTCTGGCTTTTGTGACTCTCTCAGGGAGACAGGCTGCATCAATCCCAATAGTCCAAGAGCTGGAGACCAGGGTCTGTGATGTGATCTGCTCTCACTGGAGGGTCTTTTACAGAAGCTCTTGGAGAGAAAGGGACATTTTGTATGTTTTGCAAATCAACCAAAAACAAGATTTGGATTTGGAAGTAGCCAGAACATGCAATGTGAAATCCAGAAAAGCAGCAACAGCAACAAAGATTTTTAGAAGTTTCTTCGAAATGTGCACTGAATGTCTTCAATTTTCAGGTCACTAGTGGCACCTCCTGTGATGGTAAAATCAGTGTGTCCTGCATGTTTAAATACATCGATGTCGGAGACAGACGCCGCTGCAGAAACCAGCATGTTTCTCAGGATCCTGTTTGTTTCCACAGGCAGCTGAGGAAGATCTTCAACAAGGAGGTGGAAACCATGAAGCGATTTGAGTCTCCCAACATCCTGCGCATGTTTGGGATCTGCGTGCTGAACGAGGACGGTGAGTCTGCTCGCCCTGGACCTCTACTCCCTCGTCCCGTTGTCGTCCGCTGGACAGTGGGGCAGATTAGCACTTTCACAGGAGAGCCCAGTTCTGTTTCAAGAGCTCCAGAGCTGCCGATTAAATACCGAGGGTTGAGATACATGCAAGCTGTGTGGGTCTGTAGGGGTCTCAGCAGCCTTTCGGCCGGTGTCTCTTGCAGGGCCCAGCCCAGGCTACCTCATCGTGATGGAGTACTGTGAGAAGGGCTGCCTGCGCCAGGTGCTGGACAAGAAGCCGCTGTCCTGGGAGATCAGAACCCAGATGTGCCTGGATGCTGCTCAGGGTCTCTACAGGTACCTGTACATCAATTATAATACGACTAAAATAACAATGGCATACAATTCTAAGAGAAATTAGATATTTTATTCACCCACTGAATTAAGGGAAAATGTTAAGGAGACCAAAGGCACAAGCCTGAAGCAATATTTCACATATGTGTAGACAGCAGCATTAATACGCCTCGTCTTTCAAACGGAGCCTTGGAATCTTTAGTGTTCAAGTAGTGAGGACCTCAGTCAACACGGGCCAGAATACAGCACCTCGTACAGTGCTGTCCACTGTCTCCATACTGGGATACTGGGGCATTGGTTTGGAAATCCCTTTTCAAGAGGGAAGAGTGCCACCTACTGGTCGACTAAGACCAGTTAGTGCAGCCACCTTACATGAGTCACTATAGTGATCATGTACTAATAATGGGGATGATGCTGCTACTATTGTAAATGCGATACAGAAGGCAATGAAGCTTGGCTTCCATTAAAAGATGACCTGCCAGTGAAATCAGGCCCAGTGCACTGCGACGGCCTCCATGTTTTGATTGGCCTGGTGTGTTTCAGATTGCACCAGTCGGAGGAGAAGTTTAGAGTCCATGGCTCCATCAACAGCAGCAAGTTCCTGGTGGACGCTGGATACAGGGTGAAGGTACGAGATGCTACGATAATGCTTTCTTGGCTGAGTTCTCAGAAATTTGTTTTGCTTCAAAGCAGCTATGTTTTACACATACAGAGTCTTTAGAACTGTATAAACAGTGCAAATAAATTAAAAATAAAAATAACATTACGCAGAAGACTTAATGCAATCACTCTACTTCTGATTTTCTAATTCACATATATTACTGTACATAAAATATTTGTTCAGTTTTAAATGGCTTCAATTTCTGTAAAGACAGATGTTCCTTCAAGCCATTGAAAACACAGGAATCTTTCCTGAGAGATCTGTTCCTAATCCCTTCACGGGGAAGCGAATTCAGGCCAGAGAGCTGAGCAGACGAGAGATGGAAGGCACAGAAACCATGACTGCAGAAAGCACAGTACTGCAGCAGGCAGAATGACCTTCTCCTTTGGTGCTTCACCGCTGAGGGTCTGTGTCTGTGTGACTGCAGCTAGGAGGCTTTGAACTGGCTAAAACAGAGACCTCCCTGCGCAAGAACAGAGACCAAACAAGAACCTGTCTGGCCTACAGTTCACCCCAGCAGCTGGAGAGCATCAACCACCAGTACGACAGGCCCTGCGAGATCTACAGGTGAGCCCTGGCTCTGCATCCGCGGACACTGCAGCGCCACAGCCCCCCGCTCGTGCCCCCCGCAGAGGGGGCAGAGCTGTCCTCTTGTATGATCCTTGCGGTGAGAAGGTATGAGAGAGGCTCTTACTGCTTTATGAAGACAAAAGCCTGATCAGGGAGCTTCGTCCTTCAGTGATACTTCAATCAATCGTTTTATTCTTATAATCAACTTTCAATCCAGTGCACGCTCAAGGCAATTTGCATAAATTATACTTATAAATACCTATAAAAATACAGTAAACGGAAAACAATATAAAGCCACATATAAATGTGAAATTAAAATAGAGATTATGAATTAAAAGCCATTGACCATTGACCATTGACCATTCCAGTTCTGAGCATATGTGAAGCACACAGCACTTTTCCAATATTGAAAGTCTGCAGTTTGTCAACAAGATACACTATTAAGAGTCTGCAGTTCATGTAAACCAGCACTGCACCCTGAAACCTATCTGATTTCTGTGCATCCCGATTAAGCTGTGGACTTTTTGAAATGTGAGAGTATACAGTAAATACTGTAATCGTTCTGAATTGTTTGGTATGTGTCTTCCCTGTGTGTAGTTTCGGCATCGTCCTGTGGGAAGTGGCGACAAGAAACGTGCCCTTCGAAGGTATGTTGCAGTGCGTGCTGGGGGATAAGTGATGGCTGTTCAGTCTAGCCTGGGCCTGCATCTCCGGGCCAGAGCCAATAGCAGAGCCAATACACAAACTCTCGCTGGCATGAGAGGCAAAAACACTGCCGTTTCTTCAGAAATACGCATATTCCTGGAAGGCGTTATGAGCTACAGGGACAAATCCCCTTCAGCATCCGAAGTGACATGAAATTATATTGTTTGAAAGGGGGATGAGCTGGCTCCAGGCAGCAGCACAGTGGTGTTAGTGTTTGCCTCTGGAAGAGTAACAGAGGACGCCGATGGAGCAGTGTTGTGACTAGCAGAAGAAAGACGCACCTTTTGGAATCTGGGTGGAGTTTTAGGGCTATCTGGCATCCCCTTATGTTAGCATAGTATTGATTAATAAATTGATTAAATCATTTCAACTTAAAGTCAGTGCACAGCTGTAGCTTTTCACTCCCGAGACCAAGACAAGCCGAGACAAGTCTAGATAATTCACTTTCACCCCTTTAAGTGGAACTGCTTTGGAGGCGACTCGTGTTTGCCCCTCTCCCCCTAGTGGCTGAAATGTGTAAGACCGCCTAGCTTTGAGACCGGCGCTGTTTCTCCAGGCTGCTCACACTCGCAGATCTACCAGAAAGTGTGTGTGGAGCGGCAGGCGGAGCCCCTCCCCCCGGACTGCCCGGAGCACCTGGCTGAGCTGATCGACGACTGCCGATCGTACGATCCTTTCCACAGGCCCACCGCCGGAGGTACAGGACATCGACGAAAAACGTTTCAAAAGACGAGGGCAAATATCATGCAATCTACTTTGCTTTGTAATATAACATTAGGGAGGCCGCGGGGGCGCAGTGGTTAACTTTGTTGCCTTGCAGTGCTGGGGCCCTGGTTTCAGTTCCAGATCTGGGGTGCTGTCTGTGTGGAGTTTGTATGTTCTCCCCCTGCCAGTGTGGGTTTCCCCAACACAGTCCGAAGACATACTAGTAGGTTAATGACTCTGCTCTCCTCCCCGCTGAGAGCTGGTGTGTGGGGAGCAGACTGGCGCATCATCCAGGTGGGGCTGCACACTGGGGGTGGGGGAGAGTCCCCATTACCTGTAAAGTGCTTGTGAGTGGAATATAGAGGTGTAAGCAATTCATTAATTGGCTTCTGGGGAAATGGGCCCTGGTGCGAGTGTGTGTTTGAGTCTGTGTGCCCCGTGAAGGACTGGCGTCCTGTCCGGGGTGAAGCCTGCCGTCTGCCCACTGCTTGCTGGGATAGGCTCCGGCTCCCCTGTGACTCGGTACTGCAGACAGACGAAAGGGTAATAATTACCCAGGGAGCTCGCGGGAGTCCCCTGATGTCCCCTCATCGCGGTGCGCAGAAGACTGGCTCTTGGGTCCAGGTATGAGAGCAGAGCACGGACAGGGGGCTGCAGTGTTCTGTGCAGGTTCCAGGCGGAAGGGTCCCGTCTCCGTGACCTTTTCACCCCGGCGCGTGGCGGACACGAGCCCTGGGCTGTGGTCCTAACCCGCGGCCCGTCTGCTCTCTCCCCTCCCGCTGCAGTGCTGGTGGACAAGCTCCGGAGGGCGGTGCGGGAGGCAGAGGAGGACTGAGGAAGGGCGTCCTGCGAGAGCTCAGGGCCGGGCAGAGACGCAGACTCCCGGAGAGCTGCCGGCCTGTTCCCCCAGCTCCGCACCACGGACAACAGGCCAGCTTCCTCAAACACGCACCTCCGCTGTCAGGCCTGGGAAAACTGTCATCCCCAGAAATAAAAACACCAGGGTCTGGGGAAGCAATACCACCAGCACGGCATCTTTATATACTACTAGACTGAGCTTAGAATTTTTTAAAGATCTGGACGTTTGGGGGTCCTGGTGCAAACTGAATGAGACCCCGAATCTAGGCTGGAATGCCCCGTGTAGACTGCAGATGGATTGGACCGATTTGCTCTCGCGTGTGACACGATAGCAGGTGTCATGAGAGTGAGAGGCGTGTTTACAGGTCATCGTATCGGAGAGCCGGAAGGATTTATATTACACACCTTGCGGATAATAATTCCTGTTGATGTATTCATGAAAGCCTGGTTTGGAGCAGAAAACTCAGGTCAAGTTTTTTTTAAATCATTTATCATCACGGACTATTTCAGCTTTGTGTAAATGACAGTGGAACCATTTTTCCTCCTCAATTGTTTCTGGTGGTACTTTGTTCCATTAATTAACCCAGGAGCTGATTTACTGATTATGCAAAAGATTTACGAGTTTTTCTCTGTTCCGCAATTGTGCACACAACAGTTTTTCAATACTGTTTTTATCTGAATTAAACAGTTGCAATTTTTGCAATTTGCAATTATAAGATGCAATTTTTATATCTATTAAATTATAAGGCACAGATCTAGATAAGTATTAGACAAATGAGAACAACCAGGACTGGTCTGGTACAAAGATCATTTTATAAACACCTGCTTCGTACCGATGAACGGTTGTTTGTTCCCCGTGCAGCTCTATTCCTTTTTACTTGATAAGACTGTGGAGAGGTGAGGTTTGTAAGGAGCTGACACCTGTGAGCAGCAGAGACGATCTTTCCTGCGGAATGCGAGGTGGTGCATGATTCAGCAGCAGTCGCTTGTATGTTTCCATCCCAACCTCTTCTGCTCATTGTAATTGTTGAACCATTTCAATCAAGACCCAGGAAGGTATCAACCTTCTTTATGCAATTAAATGCTGTGTGTGTTGAATTGTTTTTCCTAAAATGCTGAAATAAAAGTTTGTTTTTTAGTCTTTAATAAAAGAAGAGTACAAAGGTACCTGATTAGAATATTCAAAATCCTCAACGTCTCGACTTGTTCAAAGGTCTTCTTCAGAATCAGAAGAGAAACACAAACGAGAAAACCACACAGAAGTGCATTTTAAATGGAGAATGGGCAACATGAACACTTTTTACACTAAGGGTGGTGGGAGTCTGGAACAAGCTGTCCAGCAATCGTCTGGTTTGTTTCAAGAAGGAGCTGGATGATATATTTGGAAGTCTTAAGCTGTAGCAACCAAAAAGCAAGAGAATTACCTCTATGTACGATCTTCCTTATGCTGTTCTTAAATAACGTGCCTTTTGTTCAGTGGTGTTGTCTGTTATTCTAGCGACAGCTTGAGGCTGTTTTTGATTGAGATCAGTAAATTCTGTCCTTCTATAGGAGTACAATGTCTGTGTTTAGATTGTCACCAAATTCAGCTCTTGATCACAACGGACTTTTCAAAAGAAAAGCAATTCAGAGTGTGAATCTCAGAATTTTAGACAACTCCTCCCTTGGGTCATTGCATACCAAATGCACACTTAAGATATTAAAATGTAAAATATACTGACCACACCTTCATAAAAGTTCGTATTCGGTGGTATGAAAATGATAACGTTGTACAGTAAATAACCCCTTTCTTTATCATCACCCTAACGCACCTGAATATTGGAGACATTAGTCGGAGGAACAAACTGAGAAATTCAGAAGGAATCTCAGCAATGGAAAATAGAGAAAAGGAAACGTTTGAAAACATTTGTTAGTGGTCTGAAACATAAAATGAGGATTAACACAACGTGTGGTAAAGTTGTCGCGGGCCGACCGGATGCAGCCCAGGGCAGCCCGCTGGCCAATAGGAAAGCGCGGCTCGCAGGGGGCGGGGCCGGGCCGTGGCGGGGAGATTCGGATGAGCCCGGAGAGGCCGCAGAGCGCACAGCCGAGGGCCCGATCCCGGACAGTCAATCGCAGCGATATTGGGAAATAAAAATAGTTTTGACACCACCCGCGGGGTGGGGGACGTCCGTAAAGACGTCGTATTGGAGACCCGAAGCACGTTACGAAAGGTAAGTTGACGTGCGTTTGTTTACTGCGCCCTTTCGGTATACGGCTTGCAGGAGACGGTTGTAAGGGGACGAAATAAGGTAAGGTAAACGAAAAAAAGTTTCAAAAAATGAGATGAGATGAGATAAGGGTGGGCCTGCAACAGATTAAACCCCGAGCGTTTTCCAGAAGTTCCTTTCCCAGGCTGAGGCGGAGTAGCCTCGGTCTCGATTTGGTGCGCTTGCCGAGCTCGGGGCCTACAACCCGGGGTGACAGCCGGGCACGGTTCCGCTGGTGCCGCCGGAGCTCCCTGCCGCTTTCTCCACTGCACAGCCGCACAGCGCTCGCCACCCGTAGTGCTGGGACAAGCGCTTGTTAAATCTCCCCGAGGGATCGTTTTTCATATTTCCAGATTTTACACCACTGGGAAAGGCTGTCGAAATGATCGCGCTGAAGTAAACGATCATAACGGACACCGCGACGTCTGACAGCGGTCTGACCTGTTTTTATTCAAGACGAATTAAAAACGGTAAACGTATTCACTTAGCCATCCTAACAGTAGTAAATTAAATCGGTCGTCATTATCGGTTTATAGTGTGGTGTGGTGTAACTGTGACTCACGCAGAGCCAGACTGATCTTCGGTTAGCACTAGCCCTGAGCGGATCGTGATCCGTACTGGACGGCCATCCCTGCAGTCCAGCTCCTGTATGACTCGCTCTTAAGGTGGTGCAATTTCTGGTGGGCTGTATGCTCTCTGTGTTTTCGGCAGCTGATCATGTTAGGAGAAGTAAAGTTCGGTGTTTTGTTATGATATGGAACCTCAAACGTTACCTGAGCTTTAGAACTTCCGATGCTCGCCAAGAAACTTAATGTGCTAGACTTTCCTGCATAGTTGTTAAATAAAACGCTTTAAGATAACAGTTTTGTCATCTTTCCACATAAAGGTTAACCCCTTCTAATGTCGCAAAGCAATGACAGTGTCAGATCCGTGCTGTGCTGGCACAAGCTCGTGTTCCCTGGTAGGTGTACCAGTGATGATGGCATAATTGCCCTTGAAACATTTCGGTGGTGGAAGCACCTGCCCCTGCAGCTTTGATGGCTATTAGGAAACAAGACGTAAAAGGAAATATGGAAATATGTGTGATTTTTGTCACACCTTATGGCTGCACGACCCCCATGGGCCCAGGGGGATCGGCTCCGATTCCTGATTCTCCTCCTGACATCCCTGAGCTCTTCCTTTCCCAGGTGGGCCCATGGAGGCCATGGAAGTGGATCTGCAGGTGGGCGCCGAGGGCACAGCGGCCGGGCAGGAGGGGGGCAGTTACCAGCTGCCCATCTTCATCCCTGACTCGGGGGGCAGCACCGATGAAGAGGACGAGCGGGTGCCCCCTAGCCCCTCACGGCCTGGGGTGGCTGCCCTCGTGGGCCTGCTGGACCACGCCGGGCATCAGGGGGCAGTGCCCGTCAGGGCGAGAGCTGCCCGGATACACAGCCTGCTCCGCCGCACCACTACCAGGCCCAGGAGGGCTGCGAACTCCAGGAGCTCCAGGTATGTCCTATTAACGGATCGGTTCTGTTGAAGTTCTGACCTCACCTCTTGGTGTGCCTGTCAGACCCAAGTTAAGGCTTTGGGTATTTGGTTAAAGGGGAGCTGCAGTCTCGGTTTCTCAGAGCAGTTATTAAATCTCAGTCACAGATATGTTGACATTATAGAAAAATGTTACAAATTTCAGATTAAGCACAAAGCCGTGACCTTTGTGAAAGCAATTCAAGTCGCCTTGTTGTCACAGACTAGTATTCATGTTCCCACGAATTGGGATGTGATGTGGCCCTTCCTGCTCACTAGTGACTGTAACGACTGATGTAATGCAAAGCATGAGCAAGTAAGTACAGGATGGGCAGCGGACATTTCACCGCAGAAAGTCTCCAACGTGATCTGCATGCAGAGATAACAAGTAAGTTAAAACCGTCTCAAAGTCAAGAGCAATATTTCTGTGGGATTAAAAGAGATGTATTCACCAGCCTGCTTCTTTACAATGTCATAGGGCCGCATCAGGTCACCATAGTGGTTCTGAATCTGAGATTACGGTGCTGCAGAAACCTGGAAATTTAGTCTGTTTTGTGGCGTAAATTGAAGGGCTTACAAGTTACATTTTACTTCATTGTGGTTTCAAATGCACTCATTAATGCCGATTCTTTCTAACTCCGGGATATAAAAATAGCATTCCCCTTTAAATAACGTACAATTTTTTGAGTAGTTTATCATTAGCTTGCAGATGTAGTAAAAGGCACGCAGTGGGCATGCGATGTCTGTGTGTGGGCTCGGTGTTAGAATCGTGTGTGTGCTGGTCCAATGAATCAGTTCTGCAGCCAGTGAGCCTGGGGAGTCTGTGTCGGCATCAGCGTGTCACGAGTTCAGCGGTGCCCGGTGGGCGGCGAGGGGTTGTGTCCGTGTTTCCCTGCACATGTCTGTAGCGTGTGCCCTTCCCTGCGCAGGCCCGCTCCGGCGCTCCCGGGTCCGGTCCAGTCCAGCCTCCCCCCCGCCACGCGCGCGCCGCAGGCCAGCGGGATACTGGAGTATCTGACACGCTCGCCGTCCGCCCGCGTGCCAGCGCCTGAGGTGAGCGACTCGGAGGAGAGCCAGCCAGGGGCCGACCCCGCCAGCCCGGCCAGCCTGGCACCAGAGTCTGCGCCCGAGATCCCTGCGCTGCTGGCCCTGCAGGATCCCGCCCCTTCAGGTAACAATTCTACGCCGTAAGGAAGATGTTCAAGTCCTCCTGTGAGTCTTAATTGTCACATGTTAACTAAAAGCATCAGACCCGAGGCTCTTGGGGAATCTCCTCTTTGGTATAAAGTTTAACTGGTTGTTTTTGAGAATTTCATGGGATTCTTTTCTTCAGTCGCAGTGTTTCCACTCTTGGTGCAAAGTGTCAGTTGAGATGGTTTTGATAGTCGGGAACGATCTGGATCTTGGGTTCGTCCTTCCTTTTCCTGGTGACGAGTGATTTCCTTTGTAAAACAAAGTGCAGCAATAAATTGTCTTTTCAGGCTTTTCTAGGCTGTGAGAAGAGGATTTAGAGGTAGTTCTGTTGAATTGTACACACGTTCTACCCAGTATGTAGGTGCATGTATAAGTAATTGAAGGGATAGTGAATTTTATAATCCAATTTCTAGTAAAACCACAATGGCTCATAAAAAAATATCCTTTGAAAATCTTGCAGGACAAAGCTGTGTGCAGTAAATTAAGAATCTTCATCAACATATTTCCAAATTTTGGACCATTAAATGATTTCAGATCATTAAAAGGTTTAAGTAACCAAATTGATGCCTAGAAAATGTTTCACCATTTTTGGATGGTATCATTTGAACTTCTAAATAACAGTTATGGAATTGACCAAACGTAAAATTTGTGTAAGCTTTTGTGAATGGGTGTGAGGGCCTTGTCTCTGCTTCAGCGGCAGGTTTGCTTGACTGTTATCTGCGTGTTTGCATGCAGGACCAGCAGCTGCAGTGGAGGAGAGACTGCAGAGTACAGAGACTGTGGAAGAAACTCCGCAGCCCACTGAAGTAAGTTACTATAGCTCAACACAGACTGTAAGCTACTTGAAATAACCCACATCTCTAGGCTCCCAGAGAATCTCTTTCCAGGTTTTATCTTTGTTGTTTTTCTGATTCTTTTTCTAATAAGCAGCTGTACCTGTAGTTCAGATTTTGTTGTGCAATTAGATGCAAAGAGTGTTGTTAAGGTTATGGATTAATCCAATAAGCTGTGTTTACATTGTGTGTAACGTAAAGGAATGGTCACCACAATTAGGCTGATCTTCAAGGGTTCCATTCAAGAAATAGCTCAGTCATTTCTTTCTTGTTCCATGGGCCCGTTCAGATTGTGACGAAACTGGGTATAAGGCTTCAGTCTTCAGGAGCGCATTCTACAGATACAGCAGCTCTGCAGAGCAAGAGTCTTGAGTACAGGGAGCAGCTAGATCAGTAGTGTCTGGAATACAGAATAGAACAAGGTATTTCGTTCTTCATAATGGAGGTCAAGTAGGTGTCGTGCTGTTTAAAGCTGTTTTGGCTCTGAAACGTTTTTGTTGAGTGCTGGCTAATCAAATTGGTTTTGATGAGTCATATTTTAGAAGAGCAAAGGTGATCTTTTTTTGTTCAAAGCTGTATTAATCCACTTATTAGAAGGATGGACTCAGTACTTAGAGGGCTGTTGATCTCATGTAGTCTACTGAATTATTTTCAGAACCGTTTCTCTGTTAGTGTGTATGGATGAGTTTGCCTTATCTTTTGTTAGCTGAAAACTAGTTTAACTCACATTAAATTGTGAGACTTCTCAGTTTTTGTACGGATTAAGATGAAGGTTTTTGCCTAATCTACTGTCTTTATTCGGTAGGTAGGAGTGAATGTTGTCACGATAGTTTAATCTGTTCCAGTTGATTGTTGGTTGTCCTCAGGCAAGCTCGTAAAACACAAGAAAAAATGCAGGTGTGCCTTAGGAAAGACAATTAGAACTAAACTGTAAACTGATGCTCATCTACGGTTTTGTGAAAATACAATTTCACCACAGTACTGGGGCAGTGGCTCTGTGGCTAAGGATCCGTGCCTGTGGCTGGAAGGTTGCCGGTTCAAATCCCGCGGCCGGCAGAGGAATCCTACTCCGTTGGGCCCCTGAGCAAGGCCCTTAACCCCGTATAAATGGCTGACCCTGCGCTCTGACCCCAAACTTCTCTCCCTGTGTGTGTCTCATGGAGAGCAAGTTGGGGTCTGCGAAAAGACAAATTTCTGATACAAGAAACTGTATTTGGCCAATAAAGTGATCTTATCTTACTGTGGTCTGTTTTAACCACCGAACCTGAAGATCCTGCTGCTCTCACTAGGCTTCGCTCAGGAAGGATGTGTTAGCAGCACCTTGGACAAGTTAGGAAGCTGCTGAGCGTCTGTTGCCCTCTCCTTCTCCAGCCCAGGTCCCCCATGCTGAAGAAGGAGGCCAGTGATCCAGCGCTCCCTGGACCGCCGGCCGAGGAGGAGGAGGACGGGGAGGGGGGCGAGGGCGAGACCTGCTCCATCTGTTTTGAGCCCTGGACCTCAGCGGGGGAGCACCGGCTGGCCGCCCTGCGCTGCGGGCACCTCTTCGGCTTCACCTGCATCGACCGCTGGCTCCGCGGGCAGGGTGCCAAGTGCCCACAGGTCACTCCCACGTCCCAGCAGCACCGAGCACCGTCGGTTCAGCAGAGCAGGCTGCGCCCTGGCCTGACTGGGTCTCCTCAGGAGCGGGTGGAGGGGCTTAGCCGTTTCATCATCGAAGTTTTCTGGGTGTTTTCTGGCTGGATTGGCTTGGGGTAACTCCTCAGTGCAAACGTGACCTTGGCGAGCCACGCGTGTCTTTTGCGTGAGAGGACAAGACAAGCTTCTTCTGGGCCTAACCAGAGAACAAGAAGTTACAAACAAGAGGAAGCCATTGGGCCCAACTTCCCTGTTTGGTCGTTAGTAATGAATTAATCCCAGGATGTCATCCAGCTGTCACTTGAAAGAAGCCAGGGTATCGGCTTCAGTGTGGCTGGGTAGCTTGTTCCAGACTCCCACAACCCTTTGCATAAAGAAGTGCCTTTTGTTCTTGGTTTTAAATGCACTTCCATGTGGTTTCTGTTGCGGTAGGTCTGTAAGGATATGTCCATTTGCGTTTGCTTTCCTATGCCTAGAAAATTACTGAGAAGGCACTGGCTGAGTGCACATCATTGTCCTCACCAGAGCCCAGAAGATTGGCTACATTCAGGAATGTCGCTCTTGAGATGAGAGATGTGATGTACCCTGTAATTATCCTTATTCATTCAAGATTTTGCAACATTGGTCAGTGAACCTCAGACAGGAGGCAGACAATTCAATAGCCCAACATGAAAAGATTTATCCCAGGCGTTGTCTGATGCGCATGTTTATGTACTGTGCAGTAATCATCCTGCTGTCGCCCCGCAGTGCAACAAGAAGGCCAAGCGCACCGATATCGTGCTGCTCTACGCACGCAAGCTCCGGGCTGTGGACAACAGCGAGCAGGAGAGGATGAAGAGGTACGAGGCTGAGCTCTTTCCCCTAGTCTCCCCTCACCCCCCCCAGTGACAGATGAAAGATCATCCCTGCCATTTATCAAAAGAAATCAGCACAAAGACCGGCTGCAAAGTCTTGTTTTTATGTCCTGGAATCCATCCATCCATTTTCCAACCGCTTTATCCAGTACAAGGTCATGCGAGAGCCAGAGTCCATCCCAGCAAGCAAGGCAGGATACAGTCTGGGTGTGATGCCAGTCCACACACAGCCAAACACACCCCAGGGCCAGTTTTCCCAGAAGCCAATTAAACTACCAGCATTCCTTTGGACTGTGGGAGGAAACTGGAGCATCCAGAGGAAACCCACACGATCACCAGGAGAACACAAACTCCAAGCAGCAATGCCAGCGTCCTGGAATTAATTCATGTTGATTTCCCTGCTTCGCTTTAGTGTTCTTTTTTTCTTGTAGTTCTTGTCCTCGTATCTAAAGTGTTTTACAGTATGTTCTTCATGCTGACTAATATGTGGGACTGTGTGGAGATCAGGGAGCAGGAAATCCACCGCTGTCCCTCTCTCTCTCTCTGCTGCGGCCTACGGTGATTTCAGAGTGCTGTGGCCCGTGTGTCGAGCCCAGTGCTTGGTCGGTGTAGCCGGCCGTGCTGACGCCCGCTCTTCCTGGGCAGGTCTCTGGAGCAGGAGCAGGCCCTGCGCAGGAAGGCGGAGCTGGAGTCGGCGCAGTGCAGGCTGCAGCTCCAGGTGCTGACGGACGAGTGCGGGCGACTGCGCAAGCAGATACAGGTAGAGGATCGCGCTCGGCAGTTCACCGACGGCCAGCCCAATACTGATAAATTGGAATTCCATAACATAAACCCGGCAGTGTTACTTCATCAACATAATCCCTGGCTTCACTTGTGTGCATTTCAGAGTCCGTCACATTAGCGGCGGAGCATGTAACTTCAGGTTGTAACAGACACGAGCTGGTTCTTGATGCTGCTGCCCCAGCGGTAGTGAGTCTGATCGAGCTTGCACTCATTCCCCTCCTCCGTGTGTCCCAGGAGATGAAGGCGCTGATGGCCCAGCCCGGCTGCAGCTCTTCCCAGACCCCCGGCAGCTCGCGCTCGGGCCACCCTCTCTCCGCTCAGGCTCCCAGTCAGGGCCAGGGGGGGCGCTATGCCTTTGCCAGAGCAGTGCTGGTGTCCCAGATGGGGGGGTGCCGGGTGCTGTCCTACTGCGAGCCCCTCGGCTGCCTGCTGGCCTCCCAGCCCTCGCCCCAGGCCACGCTTGTTCCTGGTGAGCCCGTCTCCTCTGCTCCGCGTGCTCTTGTCGGCGGCTCCCTGTCTGCCCTCCGGGAGGTGACTGTTGTAGCCGTGCGAGCAGATGCCCTCATCCAGGGCGAGGGATGAGCGCGTGAAAGGCCGAGCCCAGGTTGATGTGGGTGGGTTGGTTAGGCGTGGCAGCACTGTGCTTGTGTTCTTATCTTTTTTTAGTCTTGCAGTCCAGTTCAAATATGGTCCGTGTTGCATCCTCTGAAGTGATTAAATGTAAGTTAGAAGCTGATCCATATAAGACGTATATTAAATTATTTAAAGAATGCCAGTTCATTTATTGTAGTTGAGAAATAATCACAATTTTCTATCGTGATAAATGTTCGCTAGGCTGCATCTGCAATGGAAACCTTATGTTCTCCTTAAAGGGTGAAGGGATCTCTGGTACATTCTTTGGCACAGGAAGTACACCCACACCGTGTAGCATAAGTTCACTTTATCTCCAGTGTAAAATTTGCTACATTTCTTCTGCATGTAGTACTTGAATTTGATGTGCAGTTTACCTGCAGAAGAATTCTTACTCTGCTTCTAGATGTGCACCTTTTTCTCTTTATATTTCCTTTAGGAATGAGGATTAAACAGTGCTGCCGAACAGTAGGTCTCAGTTACCAGCCCGTTAGAGCTTCATTGTTTGTCGTTGAATGAGCCCACCTGTCTTGCACGGTGGTCCCTTGCTCTGGTGACCCTGCTCTGTCTCCCTGCCAGGCTGTGGGGTTAAGAAGATCAGCGCGGCCACTATGAAGGCGTGTCAGTATGTCCCCATCCACGCCAAGCAGATCCGCGGCCTGGCCTTCAGCAGACAGGCCGACAGCCTGCTGCTCTCCGCAGCCCTGGACAACACCGTCAAACTCACCAGGTGCGCTCACAGGGGAACCTCTTCTGTCGCC